TGGAAATAGAGGGAAGAATTGAACTTGCAATATTCATCATTAAAAAGCAAGAAATATTCTCAATTTCAGAGGCATCATCATCACCTTGCAGTGAGTGTGATGTTATAGAACATACTATTCATACATGCTCTCAGCATGCAGGGAATAATTTATAATGTAATTTGAGGATGTAGCTATACGGTTGTTGTTTAATTTACTTTGATATCCTGGTTGTGATGGTAAACCAATCAACTAGGTGGTGAAAATACGTTATTATAATTCCAGCCTTAAATGCAAAGTGGGTAATAAGCAGGACGAAACAAAAAAGGAGAAAAGGGAAAAGAAAAAGGCCGGAATAACAGAGAGAAAAAGAGAAAAAGATGTTGAAGATAGATCTGATAACGCTTCGTGAAACATATTTTAATTAACCAAGATTAAGATTTTAGGCGGGCCAGAGAAGGAGGGGTTCGAGAAAGGAATATGGGGATGAAAAAGATCATGAATCATCGCTAGAACGGCTGTGAAAGTGTGTCATGAATTAGAGATAGGAGAGGAGGGGGGAAGAGATAATCCAGATATAGTATGGGACAAAAGGAGATACCCATACTGACAAGAGGGAATGAGAGAGAGAAAGAAGAATATTATATAGGAAATGGAGGGGTGCTGTATACGCTGTGAAATGCCTAAGGAAGAGCTATGAATGGTGATGAAAATGATAGAGGGATGGATAGAAGAAGGAAAGACGAAGAAAAGACTAAGGAGACCAAAAATAATGCGCGAAAAAAAAAAAGAAAAAGAAAAAGAAAAGACTGAGACTGAAGCGCTGCAGTTAAACAATGCAAATAAATAGTTGATATAGGAAAATATAGAAGAAACGGCAAAGTGGACGAAAATACTAACACCCCGGAACAAAATTAAAATCAACCAAAACTTAAATGGAAAAAAAGGGGAAAAAAAAGGAGGTCAAAAGACCGCCGACAATCCATTTTTCGAATGCCGTCGACTAAACCGTTTCTTCCCTTTGACCGACTCCGCATCGCCCGTGCCGCCATGATGCTTAACCAGCGTCGCCCGTCCGCCTGCTGCCTGTGGCGCATTCAAATTGACGTTGACAGAAGCAAAGTCGACCGAATTGTCAATCGTGTTCGCATTGCTGGAAACGCCTGACGAGATATCGCGCAGCGTGTCGTCGTAGGAGGAATTATTGTTGTTGGCCGATTGGAAGACGGCGAGTTCCTTGGCGTGGTCGAGAGTATCTATCCATTCTTGGGTGGAGAGGGCAGAGGACGCGACATCGTTTGAGGAGGGTCTGGCGTCTTCGAAAACGTAGTGTTTTTCTCGCTGGTGGGAGGGGAGGGAGGTTAGTTAAAAGGGAGCTTGAGGGGGAAACCATGTAAGTCTTAAGGGAAGGGAAGTGCTCTTACTGTATCCACTATCCACGATGAAAAACCTTTTGCGTCGGTGGTGCTTCGATACTGAGCTCCGGGAGCTAAGAGTGAGATATCCATCTTGGCCTTCTTCTCTTCTCCGCCCGCGGGTGCGATAATGACACGGCCAGCAGATGTAACCATAACTAATCGGTGGCGCTTCTTAGTCGTGTTCCCTCCAAAGAATCGGGAAAACTTCTTAGGAGCATCACCGCCGTCTCCGTGTCCACCTTTGCCGTGCTGATTATGAGGAGCTGGAGAGGACAAGACAAGCAAATTGCCCATTTTCAATATACGTTCGTTTGTCCGCGTTAAAACAGGCGACCATTCAATATCAAGTTGAGAGGGGGGTGGGAGATCGGTGACAAGACGTGGATAATTTCTTGTGCTTCCTGAGTTGCCTGATGATCCGAGACCCATCTTCGTTATATTTGATGGAAAACTGTCATCTTTGTTTGAACCGTTTAGTTTAATTGGTTCAGGAAGCGGAGGCACGTATGGTTTCAAACGGGGTGCTTTCTGTTTCCAAAGACCACGGCCCCAGACGATGCCGTCGAAAAATTCATGGTTTTTGATGTGTTCCATTTGCAGCCGTCTTGATGGATCAAGCACGAGAAGCCGTTCCACTAAATCGCGCGCAACTGCTGGAAATCCCGGTGGGAACTCATAGTCGAGGCCAACGATCTTTTGGAAGGTTTGGTACTCATTCGCGCCTTTAAAGGGGGGTCGTCCCGCTAGTAATTGGTAGATGATGCATCCAAAGGCCCACAAGTCACTTGCTTTATAGGCGCTTTTGTCTGTGAGAAGTTCCGGACTGACATATTCTGCAGTTCCCACAAAGGAATTGGCGCGGTCTTCTTGATCAGGGAAATCCGAGTCCATCTGGGGGATACCGCTTGAATTTTCTTCCTGTCTTTTTGGACGATCTAGCATTTTCGCCGTGCCAAAGTCTGTAATTTTTACATGCATCTGACTGTCCAATAACACGTTTTCTGGCTTCAGATCTCGATGGATAACTCCGCGCTTGTGCATGTAGTCAATGGTATCCAGAATCTGCGCGCCATAAAATCTTGTGCATTCTTCATCGAACGACGACATGCGTTTCAACACACCTAGTAACTCTCCTCCACTAGCAAGATCAAGGACGAAGTACAAGGATCGCTCATCCTGAAATGTGTAGTATAATCGAACGACACCGGGATGATCGGTCAGTCGATTCAACGTATCCTTCTCAATATTAACATACTTCACTTTCTTTTCTTTAATAATATGACGTTTGTCGAGAATTTTTATTGCGTATTCCTTTAATGTTTGACGATCTGTAGCCGCAACCACGGTGCTGTAGGATCCCTCACCGAGAGTACGACCAAAGGAAAAGTCTCTGACACCCTTCTTCACGTATCTCGACACGGGTTTCCCATTTGCATCGATTTCTTGCCTCACACCAACAGCCGCGCCACGATCATGCCATTCCTCACTGCTAGACAGTGTAACATTTTCTATTCCATAGGGGGAGCCAGAAAGTGGGGAAGCGCCATTGTTATGAGCTACTCGGGAGCTCCGGCGGGGTGGTAGCGGGCTGCTCCCGCTGTGGAACTGTGTTTGCTTGTAGGTTCTCTCGGAATGGCTACTGTCTTGTACAGGGACTCCCGCTTGGAGGGCTGCAGATCCTCCGCGAGAATCGGACCGTGATTGACTTTCAGACGTTGGTAAGGGGGACGATTCAGTACGAAGTCGATATCCTTCCCGGGGGACCATATTGGATGACGACCCGTTGGTAACGGGTTGCGCATAATAAGCTGACATTGGGTGGCCAATATTTGCGGGAGAGGGAGCGGGAGCGGGAGCGGGAGCGGGAGCGGGATTTGAGGTCTGGGATTTGGGATCAGCATATTGGGAGTAGTGTTGTTGCGGAGGGTTCTCGTATCCATAAGCTACGGATGATAGGTTGCTCTGGGCCTGGGAGGAAGGATCGGGGGCTTTAGCGGCTGCATTGATATTTGCGCCAAGCTGAGAAGGAATTCCGTCACCAGCTGTGGCTGGCGAGCTTGTTTGGGGGGGATGTGAAGTTGTGTCAGCAGAACTTGGAGCCTTGTCTCCAGGTTTGACGGAGGAGTCATCTGGATTAGCAATCCGCAGACCCCCAAAGGACTGCGACAGGCTTAGATCACCGTCCATAGCAGTAGAGGACGACAATCAGGCAAAGGATGAGTAAGAGCCAAAAAGTGGTAACGATCGGGCAGAGACGTGGTAGTTATTAAGGTGAGACAGACGCTGACAAGAGGGTGGCAGGAATGGCGGTAGACGGAGGCGTGGGGTAATTAACCAGACAAGTAGGTCTCACAAGACAGAGACTACGCCGGTCATTGGAGCGAACAGTGAGGCATGACAGGTACACAGTGCAGCCAGAGAAAGACTACAGAGGACAGCTCTCTCTCTATATGGCGTTTCAATGAGCGAAGTGGAAAAGCGGGGGGGGGGTGGTAAAAGACAGAGCGTAGAAGGAGGAAGATGAATCGTGCAGGGTGCAGCAAGGACACAAGAGCGAGAGAATTGGAGTGGGAGGTTCCAGACAGTGAGGTTGAGGTTAAGGTTGAGGTTGAGGGGAACAGAGGGGGCAGAGAGTGAGGTGCAGTCAGGACAGAGTGATATTGAGGCTCAGCGGACGTTGAGGTTTAGCAAAGCAAATTGCGTGACGGTGGAGAGTACCTGAGCCTGCCAAGACATGCGTATCTAATACAGCATGTGCCGGGAGCTGGTATTTTACGTGACGGTACTGTATGTTGCATTACGTCGATGGGCAGGTGACAGAGGTATCCCAGGTAGCCGGAACCCGAAACATATGTAACCATGATACGGTAATACCTCAGTTTTGTGTTGTGCCAAAGTCAACATCATGACAGATTTGACATTAACTGAAGACTTACGCAGTCCACGCAACACGCAACCACGGAATGACTGTTCAACAACCCTGGCAGATACCAACAACAAGCACCGGCTGAGGTTGCTTGTATCCAATATCGTATACAGGGGATGCACCGACCTCATCATACACACAGCACGTTGATGAAGGTGTGCATAGTTCATTTATAACAATCTCTAACCCTAACCGTTATATCCCTTATCCTACTATATATAGCGACAGTCTCAAAACTCTCTACTGAGATCTTGGGATCTGGATCTGTTTCCAGGACAAGGCTATTTCTCTCCCCGAACGATGGGAGACTCCCTGGTAGTTTAGTTAACTGCTTGCCTACCCATGTTAACTAAGCATGCACAGCAACCAGTTAACCAGTTAAGTGGGGGGAGTCTGACCAGTCCTCAGAGGTCTTTCAGCAGGAGTCTCCCTCTCAGTACATACATAGGCTGCGTGCGATCAGCCCTGAGGGTAACAACGACCACAGCGGGGCCTCTGTTGATATGGGCCCTGTTTCCCCATGTATCATGATATAAGGACGGCATGGCCAGGATGTATACGTTTGACACATCCTGTCTGTTATCCTTTGTTGTGACTCTCCACAATAAATGCCCGGAATTATATCCCGTTAGCTTTAAATCGGAGATTCGCCGGTGTTAGCAACCCGGATTTGGAATATGGCTATGATCCGATCACGCCCAACTTCCATAACACTCTCAGACAAGGAGGTCAACTCCTGTTCCCAGAGGATTCTGCTTTCTCGAATACTCGAAAGGGGCAGGTCTCCGTTGGTATCTCCAACTCCTCGACGAGTCCAGTCCTCATCTGAAGGGCCAGCCTCCACTCATTCCTATCTTGTTCCTGACTCCAGCAGCTTCGAGGAATTTGTGGATTGTGGTTCTGGTGATTGCGGTAGCTCGCCAGTTGTCAGCACCGGTAAACGCAAACGGGAGACTTCGTCCCCGGGGCCAAATGCAGAAACACCACCACCACCACCTCCTCCTCCTCCTCCACCTCCTCCCTCTCCTTCTCCTCTGGAGTCTCTACCGTCCAGCACTGATACTAAACTAGCCGAGCAGCTGGATTCGATAACACTGAACTTCACATCATTTCTTTCACCGTCCACCTGGCTTGGTCCGTTTGCTTTGGCCTCTGGATACGTTGGCGGATATATCTACCCGGAAAAGGGGTTCTTCGTACAGTCAAAGCTCCCAGGGTGCAATCCAGAAACAGTAGGCTATCAAATAAAACCTCACGCTTCTTCAAAATTAACAGAGCCTCGAGATCCTATCAGCACCCTTCTAAGCCCGATAGACCCAAATAGAGGACTCTCATCAATTCTAGGTTGTTGTCTTCCTAATTTGAAATCGTCCAACCCAGCAACCCGTATTTCTCCCTGTCCCCAATCACCTCTATCTACATCTCCACATTCACTTTCTCAGAATATCAATTCAGAAAGTGAAGACCACGACCACTTTTACCAAAAGGTTAAAGACAGTCTCTGCAGATATGATCAACTCTGTCCGTCTAATCGGTCACTAGTTAGAGGCAGCTCTTCTCGACACAGTGAAATGAAATCGCTTTGTCATATATCTTTAAACACCAAGCCCCCTGAGCATCAATGGTGTTGCTGCAATGCAAAGTACAGTTACCGCTATCTGTCTTCAAAGCCTTCACTATGCTGTTGCGGGATGTATTTAATATTGCTTATTGGTGAGTTCCTTACCTCTCGACCATCCAGAGAGTCACCTATGCCCCAGGATCCCATGGAAATTCTTCTTCATTTCTTCACACTTTGCATATGTCATAATGCCCACATGCAGTACCTGTTTACCTTATTGCCATACTCCACTCGAATTCCAATACTTTATTTACCTCTGTCTTCAGAATTCTCCTGCAAGGCACCGTACCACCACCCAAAGGAGCTACTGAACATTCTCCAGAACCCCATCCTTCCAACCGCGAGATAGCAACCACTTGCACGTCCACAGCTAGCATGTCTTCAATGGTCCCCAAGATATCTTTCTCAATCTCAGGTCCGAGTCGGTATGGGCATGCGACCTCCCCAATGGCGAGCTCAAACATCATCACTCCCACAAACCACATCTTATTCTTCGCACCAACCGCAGTCATAGGCCAACTAGGTGCGGTACAGAAATTCAGAAATCAAGACCTCGGCCTTCCCACCCCGCTGTTGCATATGGAGACGTGGTTTACGATTCCATGGATGACTGTGCAGTCGCATACGATTGCGTACTCAATTCCAAACGCGGTGCTGGGTGCCATACCACTTCGCCATACGGGAGAGACATGTCATATGATTGATCTTGCTACGGTCACTGGGGACATCTATGGACAGAATCGGGTAGGTTTTGTTATAGAAATAACGACTAGTCTTTTTCATTTTAGCATTGTAGTTAACTGACCTCCATGCTCAAAAACAGGGGCCGGCTCAAACAGCAGCTCAACCTCAACCTCAACCTCAGGCCCAGATGACGCCTCAGGCATCGTCAACGCTTCGCGCCCAAACTCCGCTCTTCCAGCACATGTTTGCCCAATCCCACTCAGCAAATCAACAGCACACCCCTACCGGACATGAGACTACTACCTCCACCCCAGTACAGTCAGGAGGACAGGGACATTTTCCCACCGCCGCAGGAACAGTGCAAAACCATAACAATACCAACAGGATTACGTCCGGGCCAACGGTTCCACTGACGCAGTATGTGCCCGTTGATCTTGGTAATGGGAATGTTGCGTGGCAGCCGCGGTCGGGTGGAGTTGTTGGAATGAGACGGAGCAGTGGTGATTATTTGGCGGAGTGGGAGGGATAGCGGGGGAGGATTGGACTTTGTTTTGGGGAAAGATAGGTTGGTTTGGTTTTACATTGTGGTTTGGAAGATGAAGATGGGCGTCGAGGGGTGTTGGTTGAGATTGGTCTTTTTTCTGTTTTCATTAACTACTTTTGCTGCAGATTGTGTGCGGAAATATCTCTCTTAAGTGTTGAACTTTATTCAACATATGACAGCATGATATCCATACAGAATAATATGAGGGCTTGAATTGAGAGTTTTTGACTTTTTTAGTATTGAAGTATATGCATAATGTTTCTCATATTTAAAATTTGAAAATGGATGTAACTTTCATTTATGAGGTAGACGGTTGAGTGCTTCTAAACACCACCCCCCTTCTTTTTTATAGAACTATGGTAGAAAATAGGTCACGTGATGGAGGTGTCTGACATTTATCAAGGTCACCAATTCATTCCAAAAAAAAAAAAAAAAAAAAAAAAACTTGCTTAATTATTAAACTGATAGAGAGATGACCACGCAATATCTCATATCATAAAGTTCCATGGTATACTCTATATATTATTCTGCGGCAACTAACATTCTTTGTAAATAACAGAATTCAGCTCCCATATAAATAAATCTAGCTAATTAACGTACCCCAAGTCAGATAAGGATAAGTATATTTTCAAATAAAATCCGCCAGACAAAACACTTTGATCAATCAATCAATCCATCAAATGCAAATGACGTTTTAAGGAAGGTGGGGGGAGGGGGAAATCATCTAATTTCTCTCAACAACCCCCTTCTTCTTCCCAAACACCTGCGCCCCATCCACCAACCTCCTCTCCCCATTAATCCGCCCATTGACAAAATCCGGATAATTCAACGTCAACTCCACCGCCCCATTCACAATATTATCCACTGCTTCCACCCCAAGCATAAACGAATGATCCTGATTTCCGACCTCATACCTCCAACTCCCAAAGCGGCCGCGGGACCAGATATCCATCCCCTGAAGGCGCGGGAGCAGCTGCGTAAGCACACCCTCGCGCTCCAGAGATGGGGTCGGGTACCCGTGGTCGAAGCGGCGGTGGTAGGTGGAGACGATTTCGTCAGTTGGCTGGAGCATTTCGGTGTTTATGAGGCCCTGGATGCAGTCGGCAAGCAGCGATGAGTGGTTTACGGGCTTTAGGGAGGATTCAGAGACTTCGAGCATGATGGACCAGTATGGGCCGGGTTTTGGGGCAGAGTCGGAGGGTTTGGAGCCGTTGGCTAGTTGTTTTGTGGGGAGTTTAATGGTGGGGGGTGGTTGGTTGTGTGGGGAGTAGTTTGAGAAGATTGTTGCGCGGTAGAAGGGGCAGTTGTCTTCGGGGAAGTAGAGCTGGAGTTGGTGTTAGCGCTTTTTTTTTTTTTTTTTGGGAGGTTGGGGGGAACATACCCAGCACTTATCGCCTATTCTCTCGGGCCGTTCACCTCGGATACCAACGCCGATGACATGGGTGGAGGAGTAAAACAGGTCCTTGCTCAAATTGATCAATTCCCTGTCCCCCATCTGCTCGACTAGCATGTCTACCGGCATGGTGGAAACGAGCTTCTGGTAGCCGACCGTAGTGCCATCAGCAAGAGAAACAGTCTGGTTGCTGGCATTAACCTTGGTAACCTTGCCCTTCTCCCCGAATCGAGTGTTTTCCTTGGGGAGCGTATCTGCGACAGCGATCCAGATACCACCGGTGCCACCGCGGGCGGGGAAGCGAAAAGTCGCGTTGGGACCCCAGTTATCCGCTGTCTTCTGCAGGACGACGTTCCTGGTCACAGCCTTGAGATTGGGAGCTGCAACGCGCTCGCCCAGCCAGGCACATTGCATCTGATAATAGAGAGTTGAATTAGCGGGACACAACTTTCTAAGATAATCTCCCTACAAGTTTATATATTTCACGTTAACGTTAACCCGGTTTCCCACCCACCTTGGTCGTCGGAACAGCCCACACTTTATAGTTGTAAGGACGCATGAATAAATCAGCAATGCCAGTCCCCATCATGCGGAGAATCCACTCATCGAAGTCCTTGGGCTTTGTGTTGGCGACGCGGGCTTCGAGAGCGGAGTCGATCATGCCGTCGAGACATTTGACCTGGTCCTCCTTGGGGAGCAGGGAGATGTTGTTTTGGAAGGGGTAGGGGACCCAGAGGCCCTTGCAGCGGACGTAGGAGATGCGCTGGTGGGTGTACCAGTCGCCCTCTTTGGGGAGAGCCTCGTTGATGCAGTCATCGAAGTATTTGTAGTGGGAGAAGATGACATGGCCGCCGACGTCATAGAGCTATTTGGCAATTGCCCCCAATTATTAGAAGATGTGTGAAATGAGTAACGGGAAGAAGGCGACTCACGAATCCTTCTGGGGTGACGTCTGTGGAAGCCAGACCACCGGGGGTCTCATTGGCATCCACGATCAACCAAGATGGGCCATCCTGTTGCGAGAGCCAGTTAGCGATTGAGCTATTTCGAGCTGTTATATTACATAGCAGGTGTATATATCTGTAAGGCAGAGAAGATATAGACAAGGTATGGGCCATACAATCTGATTTAGGCGCTTCGCAGCACCTAGACCGGTGGGGCCAGCCCCTATGACAAGAACGTCGACTGAGCTGTGCTCAATTAGCGATAGTTTTTACCACAATTGGGGTGGGGGTGTAGACGAGCAAATGCGCACATATCTGGGTGCGTCATTCTCTTGCAGGAATATCCTGAAAGCTGGGGACGCGCTGCAGAGGTTTGCGGTCGAGATGAAGCATAGAACCAAAGCTGGAGAGTCTTTGGTTGCAGTCGCTGTAGTCGCTGTAGTCGCTGTAGTCGCTGTAGCACTGTAGCGCTGTAGTAGCTGTGATTTTATGGAGTTGTGGAGGGATGTCGTGGGGGTATTGAACGTTTACCACACGATGCAGCAAGGAGGCCAATTTCGTGAAAGGGAAACGAGGGAGAAGATGGGAAGAAAGGATAGGAAAGGAAAAAAGGGGAAAAAAAAGAAGAAGAGGAAAAAAGAAAAGAAGAGAAAAGAAAACAGTGAGAGGAAGAGAGTGCGGTAGGAATCAGTTAACAAGGGGGTGGCTCAGTGTGCAGGCTAATTAGCGGGAGGAGGTTTGGATTCGATCTCAACTTAGTTGGAGTGAGAAAAAGATGAAAGGGAGTGTGGGTTTGGTATAAGGAGATATCAGAGCGGTATTGACCACTGCATGCCGTGAGAATAACGATATAGATAGGAAATGGGGGATTGTCTATTTGGGATATCCTATTGTCATGGTCTATGTTTCTGCTCGCAATCGATGTAGATGTTGATTTCGCCTCTGCAATTAACGGTGTGTACGGTATCATCTCACCATAACAAGGGGAGTCAAGAAGAAAAAAAAAAAAAAGAAAATACGTCAAAACAAACAAAATTCGCGATTATCCCTGCCTCTATTTCCCTCTCCACTTCTCTAGCGACAAAACGCATCCCTCAAATTAAGATGACCCCTGGGTCAAGCGAAGCGATAAAATATTTCGTCTCGAGCTGATGGTCCCGAATTATCGCAACAACCAACCAGGTTTTTCGAGAAATCTGTCCCCTGGAATTTTCTCTCCCCACTGGCATCATAATCGGATCACAATACTGAGTAAGATCCTGAATCAATCTTGGGATAGAAGGCAACTTAAATTGTAATAAAGAATTTATTACAGCCTTCTCCTCGGGTTTGCGCGTCCCAAACGCTCCAAAGACATCTAAACATTGCGATCAGCCCCCGTGTCAATGGTGGGATTGGTCAAATACGCAACGTGTGTGCTCGAGAACCGCCATAAAAGAATCGTGCACCTTTCTTACTATATTACTATCCATAAATGAATAGAAGAAGGAGAAAAGAAAAAGATCTTAGTAAAAACAAGAAAGAAAAAAAAAAAATCATTTCCTATAATTAGTGATATTAATTTGATTTTACAGCTGCCACTCGCAAATTATCCGCTCGGTGGGTCACGTTAAAAGATAGTTAACCTAACAGTGCGTGCTGACCGAGAGTAATCTTCATGGATTCCATTCTCTCACAGGGAAGTAATCCATATGCTCCCTTCGATGGGATGGGGTTTAATTCCTATGCATGTTTCACCCGCGCGAGCTACAGCAGCTTGAGGCTGTTACAAACAGGAGACCGAGAAGCTACAACATCTCAGCCGGCGGTGGGATTGCACAGCAGCAGCTTTAGCAGGTCCGCGGGCGCCGGATAGAACCAAGGTGCAAGCAGCTTACATTCCTATACGAATATCCAGACAAATGCTTCCGTACGTGAAAACATGGTATTTCTTCTGAAACGTCCTTCTCATCCTTCAAATCCACTCCCCACTCCCCACTCTCCACCCCACTTTCCTCCTCTCCCTAATATCAACCAGTATTTGAACCTTCTAAGGATCATTTTTTTTTTTTTTTCGAATCATGGGTCTTTGGTTGAAGGTTCATTGACTCGCCGAACTTATAACTCGTTCTCTTGAAGAAGCAACAGTTAAGCCTCTTTCTATCTGCTGAAGACTGAAGACTGAAGACTTTTCCCATGGACGGCATACTTAACTCCCAGTAAAGAAGAGAGACATAGAATTAGAAATAGAAGCAGTGGTTTGGTCCAATGGGAGGGTGCATTTCTTCCCAAGTAGTTCCCATAGACAGAGACTCACGCTTTGAAGCATATCGCATCGGACATTGACAACGAGAAAGCAAGAAATTGACTCCAGATACCTTCTTTGATTAAAAAAGAAAAATTGTATGCATCTCCTATCCTTCAGGCTTCAGCCATCTCTCCCTGATTGTTGCATCCAGAGTGCTGACAATGTTCGGGGCGTTAGGTGAGTTAACTAGTTAAGAGACTGTTCAGCTCAAGTATTTAGTTAACTAGCTCCAAAGTGAACCAAATCCGTAACTACCTTTTAACTAAATAATAGTTTACTAAATATTATTCTGCCCAACCTTCCATCAAATCAACCACCTCACCACCTCAACCACCAACCTCACTCCGTCCTTTTCTCCCGCCAACCACCTGTCGTTCACATTCCACCTCCCCATTCTTCACCTAACCCCCCCCCCTCCCCCCCATATACCCCCAACCTTCTTTATATCCCCAATCATCCAACTGGCCTCCAACGTGTTTGGCCAAAGCTCTTTCCACAGGTCGCGACCGTTCGACTTCCAACGGTTCCTTGCCGACCAGGCTCGCCGCACCTCCGCCGCTGTAGCAGCCGCCACCATGAGTGCTGAAGGGGAGAAGAAGGCCAGGACGTCCGGGGAGCATTCGCCGGTTGTTTTTTCGCCGGCGTCCACCTCCACGTCTACGTCCTCGACCGGTCCTGTCTTACCGACGACTAATCCGGCTACGACGCCTGAACCGGCACCGGCTGGGTTGCATCCTGTGTTCTATATTATGTGAGAGATTATCTGCGTTCCTATTCTTCCCCCCCCTTCTTTTTGGAGGGGCAGAAGGGATTGATGAAGAAGTGGTAACAATGGCAATTAAAATGACTGACTGGCTGGAATTTTGGATTTATGCAGTGCGTGGATTACGCTGAGTTCAAGTGTTATTCTTTTCAATAAGAAACTCCTTGATAGCAAGGAGAATATCTTTCGTACGTTTGAACACCCCTTCCCCCTGTTTTCCTTGATAGGAAATTCACGGTCAATCAATAAAACTAATCTCTTCACACAATCCAAACAGCGTTCCGTACGTGCTCCTCTTTTGCATTCCCCCGTGAAAAAATTGATATATTCATTCTCACAATTGGCCAGCGGTCCTACTTACAACATGGCATATGGCCTTTGCTACCCTGATGACTCAAATCCTCGCCCGAACCACCACTTTCCTCGATGGCCGCAAGAAGGTCAAGATGACAGGCAGAGTCTACCTCCGCGCCATCCTCCCCATCGGCTTCTTTTTCAGCCTGAGTCTGATCTGCGGTAACAAGACATACATGTACCTCAGCGTGGCCTTTATCCAGATGCTCAAGGTAAATAAATCCAAACATCCCCCCCTTGAGAAACTTTTGTGTGCGCTAATCCAATCTAATATGTGACGAAAAGGCAACAACTCCAGTGGTAACCCTCCTAGCAACCTGGGCCTTAGGCCTCGCTCCACCCAACATGAAAACCCTCTTCAACGTCTCCTTCATCGTCATCGGTGTTGTCATCGCAACCTTTGGTGAAATCCAATTTGTCATGATCGGCTTCATTTTCCAGCTTGGCGGGTTGGTTTTCGAAGCCATCCGTCTCGTCATGGTTCAGCGCCTTCTTAGCTCATCAGAGTTCAAGATGGACCCACTCGTTTCCCTGTATTATTTCGCTCCCATCTGTGCGGTCATGAACGGTATTGTCTCGCTGTTTTTGGAGGTGCCTGATCTGGCGCTTGAGCATATCTATAGGGCTGGTGTGATTACATTGATTATGAATGCCCTGGTGGCATTTTTGCTAAATGTTTCTGTTGTGTTTCTGGTATGTCTCTTTTCCTTTCATCCCAAAACCAACACTTAGCAAACGAAATCTAACAACCCATCAGATCGGCAAAACCTCTTCCCTAGTCCTAACCCTCTGCGGCGTCCTCAAAGACGTCCTCCTAGTCTCCATCTCAGCCGCCTACTGGAAAACCCCCGTAACCCCCCTCCAACTCTTCGGCTACAGCATCGCCCTGGGCGGAATGGTCTACTACAAGCTCGGCGCAGATAAGGTCAAGGAATACGCCAGCCAGGCCAACCGGTCCTGGGCTGAGTATGGCAGCGCTAAACCCGTCCAGCGGAGGCTGGTGGTTATTGCGGGCTCGGTGTTGTTTGTTGTGCTTGTGTTGGTGGTTATGGCGTCGCCTGGTGGGATTGCGTTGGGGGCTATGAGAGGCTAGGGGGCGGGAACGACGGCTGATGGGTTGCCAAAGGGTTCGAGAGCAATGGTTGTAAGGTTTCCGAAGAGAGTGATTTTCCCACTAGACGATGAGAACGATTAACACTACCATCCTTCTCTGCTTTTGCTACGCGGGGTTTACCTCAATAATTACAGAAGGGTGGCTTTCGACCGATCCCATCGCCTCACCTCGTTCTATCGTTCAATGAGGTATATGTTGCACGTACGGGTGGGTTTGTTACGTCTGATGGACTGATGGTGTTGCGGATTGGTTGAAGATCAAAAAATTACACCCAAGACTATGGTGTTCTGGGTCCGTCCCATGGTGGGATATATGCTACAAACAGCTAACTTGCGTTATCTTGTTTCTTTCTTTCTTTTCTTTTTTTTTTTTTTTATTTTTATTTTTTTTTTTATATTTTTAGATCTCCACCATGACAAACCCCCCACCAACCAACCCTACCTCTGACCATTCCCTTCCCTCTGATCTCTTATTCCATTGATTCAACTGTCCTCTCACATCCTCCCATATCTGCTTCCACTTCCCATTGCCTCTTGCATATTCCCCACCAAAAGAGAAGACAAGAAGACAAAGACGTTGGGCTGGACAGAACATGGGATAAGTTCTTCTCCGGCTCCGATTTTTCCTAATCTTCCATCCTGCTTTTTCTTCCCGCACCTGCACCTTTGCTTGCAGTTCTGTTTATTTAACTTCTTGTTTCTTCCTTCGGTGTATTCTTTGTGATGCAGATTTCTATGTGGAAGTGAAATGGATGCTAGGCAAATATACTGGGGTTGGGTTTTGTACTGCAGGTGATGTGATGCAGCAGGGGAAAACGTGCAGTTGTTTTTTTCTCGTTCTTCTTTTTCTCGTAAACCTCTTGAGGAATCAATGGGTTTCAATCTTCTTCTCCTTTCCGGTTCTCCTAACCCTTATGTGCTTGGAGGAATCTTTCTTTCATTTGTAATATGTTTATTTTGCTCATTTTTCAATTTTAATTCTCGGGATATTTTCACGGTACATTTTGGTTTAGCATGTATATATTGTTCAAAATTTTCTGTGCCATTGCATGGATCTTTTTTAGTATTAGAATTAGTATTATTAGGTATCACTGCTCAGAAAGCATGCCCTTTAATGCCTAGATATTTCTCTACATACGAAAGATAGTCAGATAATTCAATTCCATTCTCAGTCCAAATAACTGACGAGATTATTCCCTATAACACACACATCTTCAGCTGGTTCTTTGCATTCAAGCAATCCACTCCGATTTGCGATTTTGGTTAACCCCTGGCTCTGGTCTCTGCTCTGATTCAGGGATTTCCTACTCAGTTCATGGATATGGGCGATGTTAATTCACATTATTTTTTATTTATTTGTTTATTAAATTTTTTCTTTTCTTTTTTTCTTTTTTTTTTTTTGAAAGGATATGGTTTGGTTCGTATTTGCGGTTGGCGTTGAGACTGTTGCCTCAACTTCAGTCACCTCACATATTGGAAGTGTGTGTCTGACAAGAGGAAGAATAGTTTTGTATTTTGTCCTTATTTGCACCAGAGCAGCGGTCTGTCGCAGCGGAGAGCGACAGAAGAGGGAGGTTCATTACCAGTTGACATGGAAGGTTTGGGGATTGAGATTGGCCATAGCTATTGTGGGGGCTTTATATAGTTCCAAGGGTAGGTTAACTATCTCCTAAATATCTACCTGGGTTTGTTAAGTTGTTATAGAGTCGTTTGCCAGAATTAGATATGAATGGTTGTCCCCGGACAAGCGAGGGTAGCCCATCCTTGCCGTACTCTGGAGAACACCCGGTAAGGCTACACACCTGCAAAACTGCACGCTGTTGTACGGAGGACGGAGTACAGTCCGTTGCAAACGGGGCAAGCGGTTGAAGCTTCCTTCATTCCATGCTGAATAACATTGCCGCAGCCAGGCGGAAAGGAATCCATTTCAATTGGCCCTTGGACTGCGGGTGGAGCCGACCGCGTTTTATCCTGCTAGTTGGTTAGTTAGTTAACTGGACTGTCTTAGTAATAAGGTAATAATGTGGACTGACTGGCTGCAAGCGGGGCAATTGCAGGTACATACGGAGTACACAGAGTGTGTGCAGGCCTGGAAACAGTGAGGCCTGCAAGCAGCCTGCTTAGACTTAGACGGGCTTAGTTTATGTGGGGGAGCGCATGGCTGTAAACTCCGTAGAAGAAGCATGGTCCAGAGGGCGGGCTGGTGGCCATTTGTGGTTGTGGTTGGGATGTGGTGGGGACATGGTCGGTACTTGGCCAATTGCGGATATACGGTAGTAAAGGCTGGTAACTTGGCGGTACCTGGGAAGCCGAGCGCTCCGCATCTCTAATAGTCACGCTGCTGATCCTCCTCCCGCTTTTCTGATTGCCTTCCCTTCCCTCTGCTTCCTCTCCATCAGCAGCAGTCTCTCGACTGCATCAATGCCCTTCTCTCTCCACCTTTTTCTACTTTAGCCTTCGGATTCCTACTCCTCCTTTCTTCTATACCAGTATACGACTCCGCTGACAGCTCCTTGAGCTTTCTCCGCCCTCCCGTCATCCCCCATCCTCCCTTCCCCTCCACAAAATTATCCACATATACCGACGTCGGCCAAAACACGATCTTGTCTCTCAGCTGCTCTGCCTCTAATACCACTGTCTAGACTTTCTTTTCCGATCTATAGGTTGCTATAGCTCACTTCTCATCTCCATATAACTGATCTGGACAAAAAAAAAAAAAAAGAAAAAAGAAAAAAGAAAAAAAAAGAAAAAAAGAAAAAAAAGCACGTAAAAACCATATACATACATGTATCTTAACGTACCAGGTACCTGCGACGCATCCCACGATTAACCCGCCTACGCGATGGGCTCCTCGCTCTACGGCGACATCAATAAACCCAAAACCGGTCTTGCCATTGTCCTGCCCCCCAACCAAACCCAACCCCAATACTCATACCCATCGCCATTACCATCGCCATATCCATACCCGCAATTCTTCCACACCGATCCCGCCTGTTCCACCTTCATCTCCGCCGCCATGAACATCAACGGCTCCATCACCACCCGCCACTCGCTTCCGTTCAAATCCTCCTCTTCTACTGCTGCTGCCTCCAACTCTTCTTCTACAGCTCCAGATTCTACCTCCCAACTCTCCCGCAACCCAGCTCTCCCGTCGTCCTCCTCCTCATCCTCCCCCTCCTCCTGCACACCACTGATGATGAACCCTTCGCGCAAACGGTCGCTTGACGACTACACCTCCGTATTCGACGACCAGATCCACGATAGCGGCATTGGCTCTTCTACCACCACTTCCAGCGCATCCACGGCCGTCGATGAATACCAGACCGGATCCTGGTACGAAAACAACTCATCGCAACAACCTCCTAACCACAGATCCTCAAATACCAGCAGGCCATGCCTACCCAGCCGCAAATCGCAACGCCTAGACATCTCTGCCACAGCAACAGCGACAATGCAAACAGAACTGCACTCTTCTCCCCAATCTTCCCCTTCAACCACCACTGCCAACATCAACAACCCCATCCAAAATGGCTACACCCCGCGCCTCCTAAATCGCCAAACTTCCTCCTCCTCCCTCCATCCCTCCCACACCAATCACCCAAATCACCACGAAGAACCAACCCTGGACCTCGACCCCATCACCCACCTCCTGGGAATAAGCTGGCAGCGCGTCACACGCACAGACTCCGACGTCGCAGCTGCCCTGAGAGGTTGGGAACGCTATATCGAAAACCACTACCGTGGCTACGGAGTCGGTGAGCACGTGGAGATCCTGTTGACGCATAAGGGTCTTGGGGCGTTTTTGGTCGTGGGGACGTCTACGGTTTCTGCTTCGAGGCTGCCATCATCGAAGGGCGCTGTGGTAAACAGCTACCATCATCATCATCATAATGACGTAAGCTGTGTAAACGGCGTGAGCGACGTGACGACAACGCGCTTCTACCTCTTTACGGAAGATTTATCTGAAGCACGCCTCGTGGGCGGGGATTGGGAGGAGTGCTTGGATAATTTGCGCATGGCGCCTGTGCGGTATGTGGAGGGCTCGGAGGTGTTGAGGGCTGCGGAGAGGTCGGGTGAGAGGGATAGGGATGGGGATGTAGAAGTTGAGGCGGAGAGGGAGAGGGAGAGGGGTGATAAGGGAATGCTTGTTAGGTGTTTGAAGGGTCGTGCTGACGTTGGCCGTGGTCGGGAGGAGGTGGGGTGGAATAGGAATGGGAATCGGTGTGGAAGTGAAGGGGGGGACGCGCGGGGTATGGATATGGATATGGGGATGGGGATGGATATTGATTAAGGGGTTGGTAATGGTGTTGGGATAGTGGTAAAAAAGATTTTTTTTTTAAAAAAAAAGGGATTCGGTTTGTACGGCGTCTATCGACTTTGACAATCGACAATCAACAATCGACAACCACGGTTGAATATATGCGCCCCCGTGTATTTTTCGCATCGTCGAGTTTCCATTCAACTAACTAACAAACAAATCAAACAGGTCGGATAGTATATTTTTATATGTTTCCCCGCTACTTCAAATCCCCAGTTCATCTTTTCTTTCGTATATGCAATAAGTTCTTTTAGTGTATGGTTTGTGCAATATTTTTTCCCTTCTTTTTTGCTTCTTTTCTTCTCTTCTCTTTTTTTCTTTTGATTTTACTGCTGCCCTGTTCATGCTTTGCTTTCTTGCTCTTTCATTTTCTCCCCTTGCCTCCTTCACCCCTTTCACTCTTCTTTCCCTTGTATGTGTTTAATATATACTCTTTCGCCATGGTTTCTATTCTGCTTCTTGCTGTATTATTTGTTTCTTCCCCTATCTTCTCTCTCTCTCTTTTTCTTTCTCTTTTTCTATTTAATCTTTGTGTCTATTTATTGCTGTCACTGTTAACGCCTATCCTCCAAGGAAGGAAAAAGTACAAGACATGAATCAGAAATGATAAGTCTGTCTAACTTGGTCTTCTCTCAGTTTTTGGCTTTCTTTCTTTTTTACTCTGCACTTTTTCATTGTATGAATGTTGGTTTTACTTCTATTTTAATGATCTCGGGGGCAAAAACTATTAAGGGAATGAGAGGGAAAAACCAGTCAAAAAATTAAAGATAAAAAAAGTTAGAAAGTTTCTTATCATATGAAATATTCAGACTCTCGATCATATAAAGATTACAACATTAATAATTTCCAGTGATACATCCAATAATGAAAATAAAAACTCATCAGAAGCATCAAGTAACTTTTTATTTTTTTTTTTATTAAACCGAGGCGATTGTGCCAAATATGCGTTCTGCCCCTGAGGAATTTAATATTTGTGTTTTATTCGAGAGCTCAGAACAATTCAGCATGTCAGGGTTGTTCCTTTGGAGCCACACCCGCAGTTACGAAATTCATGGTGTTGACGTCTTCAGCATACCAGCAGCACTTTAGCCACGTCGAATGACTCGAAATCGTGCCTTGCAAATTTCCAATTATCAAGAAGCTTGTTGTTATACTGTACTGTAGTTGTAGAGATCTCGTGGGCCATACGCAACTCTGTAGAGCAGACAACCAGCTAGCTACGTAAAATCCCGCCCCGCATTCCCCCCCCACCATTTCCAACCAGGTGGATCTAAAATCTAATAATAATCATACCCGTCATCATAGTAATCATCATCACTGCCTCCGCCATAGTAATTCCCAGCAAACGCCTCGTCGACATGATCGTCCTCTTCCTCTTCCCCGTCGTCCATGTCGTCTTCATCTTCCAAATCTTCTTCCACGTCTTCTCCATTGGTCTGATCCAGTTCCGTGCCAGGGCTGTAGCCTGGGATGTAGCCTAGGATTTCTTCGTTGGGGTTTGTGGGTGGCGGTGTTGGGTGTGCGGGTTCTTCTTGTGCTGGGGATTGTTGTGGTTTTGTACGTGCAGAGACAGACGTCGACGATGCAGAAGTGGGCTTCACTGTCGTAGCTTGATTGGGGGTTCCAGTAAAAACACCTCCCATCTTCCCGCCCTTAACAACCCTCTCTCTCACCGGTCCCCTAACACCAGATACAGACACCCCGCCCGCAAAACTCCGCTCAGAAAACACACTGCCAGAACGACTTCTCCCCCTCCCCCTCTCCCCATCCTTCCCAATCCCAATCCCAATCCCTATCCCAATCCCAATCCTACTGCTCCCATCGCTATCCCTCCTTTTAACCTTCCCCTCCTCATCATCCTCATACATCTCCTCCAACAACCGATAATTAATCTTCTTACTAAACCCTCTCTTCTCCAACATCTTCCTCATCGCCTCCGCTGGAGTCGAAGCCCTTGTCCCACCCCCCTCTCCTTCCCCACCCTCCCCATTCCCCTCACCCAAATACCCTACATCTCCCATCCTCCCTTTTCTTCTCTTCCGCGGTCGATTAGCTACGCGCCGTCCATTAACTAGCTCCTCCTCCTCGGCCAGCGCACGCTTGAGAGCCTTGGCTTGCTGCGTGCGCAGGTAGTCCTTATTCTCATGGACCCAGATGCGTTCTTTTATTTCGACTTCAGCTGGGGAGAGGAGGCAGTACTTTACTTCGGGGTCGGAGTCGAATTCGCTTTCGTGAATGTCGGGGCTGGAGGATACGGTTTTGGGCAGGTTGGCTGCGGTGGCGTTGTTTGTGGTGGTGTTGGTTGTGGGGGCGAGGAGATTGGAGCCTAGGAGTTCTTGCATTTCGGATTCCAGGGCGGATTCGGAGGCCAGTTCGGATTCAGTTGGGGGTGGTGGGCGGAAGTTTTTGGCGCCTTTTGGTCGACCGCGTTTAGCTTTGGATTCTGAGATGTCGTTCGCATTGTCCTTGTTAGCTGATAGGGTGGGATCGATGGGTAAGTCCGGTATGGAGAACCCGTCTTCATCTACCTGTCTTGGTTTCGGGGCCGAAAGCGTTGGTTCAGGGGTATGTTCGTCGTTCCCATCCTCGTCACTTTCCATTTCTGCAACGGTTGCCGCTGCTTTTCTCTTTGTTGCTTCTTTCAATTTGCCCTGAGTGAAGGAAGGTGGGTCATGGGCAGTCTCCAGCTGGACAGAGCGGAATTGGTCAACGGTGAGTTCACCGCTTTCCGTTGCTTTAAACTCATTCAGTCGTTGATGGATTGTTAACTCTGTTACTTTAACAACGTACACGACCTCCCGAACAGTTCGACGGAAGTTGTTCATGCGGGCTGCTAGGATCAAAGCCGCACCACAGATACCTGCCGGACGTCGTCCTGTAATCATCCAGTCACGGTTCATTCGCTGCACGATTCGCACCGCCTCGCTTGCAACCTGCATCATTGAGGTGCCGAATTCGAGCTGTTTCGCAAACCGGTATATCAAGCTTTCTGGGTCGATGGGGTTCATGATGAAGACGTTTCCGCCAAGACGTAGTTCGTCAAGCAATGCTTTGTATGCACGTCCGAGTTTAAACACATTAATCTGTAAGACGAAGATTAGATTTTATTGATCTGAGAAAATATACATGGTGCCATGCACATACCATAAGCACATCAGCAAAGTCAATCAACATTACTGTGTTCCCATCCTGCCGTCGACAGGCGATGTACAAACAGACGGCAGCAACCGTCTTCGTACGACGACCTTGGATGAAATTTAATCCCACTGCAAGCTTGAAAACCTGACCAGCCGCCTTGGTGGCACTTTCTGGGACATTCAAGGCTCGAGAGAGCTGGGCAATATAGCGATTTCCTATAGTGTACAGTTCGCTTACAGTCAGCAACTTGGTGGTAGATTATGATTCAGGGGCAATCGTTCAGGAACAAAAAGAAAAGCTTATAACCCACCATTCTGCTCCGTGATCTCTCTACTCTCCATCCCGCCACCTCGCTGAAACCCCGGTCCCCCGCTGCGTCCATGGCTCTGATCCGCTCCGACAAAGGTGCCCTGAACAATCGCAGCACCGGATGCAGATTCACCGAAGGTGATTTCGGAGACGATGTTTGATTCGCTGACGACAGTACCACAGCCAGAACAGACCTTCATGCCATCATCCTCGACGATATTGGGGGCGGGACAGCCTGGGTTCGGACAGGTGAGGGGCTTGGGATATGTGGTCGTTTTCTGTGGGCGGGGGATTGGGGTGGGATTGGGATTCCGGAGACTGGGCGAGGCGCTGGATGGGGGGCCGAATTCCAACACCTGGAGCCCGAGGGAAGCGGGTGGGAGGCCGTGTGCTTGCCATGGAGGGAACCCGGAGGACTTTTAGCGTGTATGTAGACCTGGAGAAGGGATTGGTTATTATGTTTTCCTTAGGGAGGAGGCTAGTAGGGCGGGGTGAGAATTTATATAGGAGAGGTAGGTGCTCACGGGTTCCGGGGACGATGGATAAACAGTCTGTCTATGCCTGAATCATCTAATGATTTTTTTTTAGTATGGATATAGATATGGATATATACAGAGGTATCATACCTAGGTGTAGCTAGGAGTAGGGGATAGATATTTGAAGGGAATGCGCAAGGATAGCGACTGAGCTGGGAGGGGATCAGCCGAAAGTTTGGCTGACACGGCGTGGTGCAGCGGCTAACACTCAATAGGGCACAGTAAGCGACAGCGGGAGTGACTAAGTATTCTTACGTCAGGTTGGCGACGGGAACTCTCCAAGTTCGATCCGCGGTAGGAGCAGAGAGCCAGAGCGGGAATCCGGGGTTGAAAAGGCAGTGGAACGAAACCACCGAACATTGACAACACAGGGGAGATCTTCACTGTACACTATCATCTCGCATTTAGGTTTAGATGAGATTCATGTTTTGCACCATGTTTCAACAAAGACTAAAGGCTATGGTCCTCGCTGAAAAGGTCTCTGAATCACCCCTCGACCAATGTGATTACTCTCCATAGGAGGACGACTGACCAACATTCTGTGATTGAACTGGTCTGGATTGAGTGGAAAACAGCCGGGATACCACGTTAATGGGTATCGGTTTGCGGTTACCGTAAGCTGTTTTGTTATCCTCAGATGATTCGATCCTAGCTAGACTTTTCACATCCACCGAACGGCATCCATTTTTGGACTGCGACTGAGAGGATTCTGGGATGGTTCGCCAGCTGGACGAAATTGCCACAGGAGCTAAATGCCCAAGTACCGCTAAGGTACCGAATAGCTGGCCAATATAACAAAGGGGTACATAGATTCTACGTACCCCGGATTTTTTCCATCCAAACACTCGACGTCACCATTAATTATTCATCTCCAGATCGTTCGTTCTTGTGTATCCCCCACTCCCTGCTCCCTGTCTGACATACTGGACAAACAACCCCTCCATTGCTTTTCGTATTTAGTGCCTTCCAATGAACTGGTTTGGGGATTATCTCCCTTTCGTCCGTATTCGTTGCGTTTCTCTTGCTCGCGCATGGCTGCGCGATTTGTGCGTGATTGCTAAGACAGATTATCATTTCTTCGCACAATTCACTCACCACCGCCACTCAAGCACCAGTCTCTCACAAGACCAATAAAGTGGGGGTTATTTAAGTATATATTCGGGAGTGCTTTTGTTTTCCAGTTTCAAGAGTCATCACTCAAAAATATTTTCCCTCCTTCCCTTCTCCGAGTCCTCAACAGGTTACACCTGAAGTATGATCATTGTTTCATTTCTTCAACAGGAGAATTGCACTTCTCTATCTATCCTTACCTAGGCCCTTTTACAACTTTAAACTCTTCCAAGAAATCCGTCCTTCCGCGCATTTCTCCAGAATCGGATGGTGAAGTGGCATTTTCTTGGGTTACTATTATTCAGATATTCCGACGACAATATATCTTATTCTCAGGCCTTGCTACAAAAGGAACGGAAGAAAAAGTACTAGCATACTATAGTTTATCATCTCGTGTCGCTTTCTCATCTTTAAAGCCTGGAACACATGGCAGAGAAGGCGCAAGTTCAAGCCCCCCAAAGGGCTGCCCATCGCTCAACTCCTCCTGACACCCCTAGGTCGCCCAAAACAATAACAACCGTCCTCCTGGTTAATAACATCCACTGTACCTCCTGCGTGGCATACGCGAGAGAAGTTCTCTTCGGGATACCGCATGTCTTCAGCGTTGACGTTTCAATTCTCGCCCAAGAAGTCCACGTCCGCCACAGCCAACAGGTATCGTCCACTGATCTTGTACGGGGCCTTACTGACGCCGCCTTCGAGATCTGTCATGCAGACTCTCGAGATGAGTCTGGCAACAAAATAAGTGACATAGACGTTTCCTGGCCTGCGAGTCGATGGATAGACCGTCGTATGTGGAGCCCTGGCTCGCATCCTGACAAGGCTGCCTGGAGCAGGAAGAGGGCTCATATAGAAAATTGCGATGCTTGTCGGCTGGAAGAGCCGGGTAAGTATACAGGAGGTGATAAGAAGAGGTTGTCGAGTCTCTCGCAGTCTGAGGTGGTGGAGGAAAAGCTAGGATTGGGTGTTTGCAGCGCCAAGAAGCAAGGGGATGTGGAAACGCAAGAATTCTCGAACAAGCAATACAGTGATGTCGATGTTGAGAAAGGTCTCGTTCCTTCTACGGAGGAATATGATGCATACATCAGCATATTTGGAATGTCCTGTTCATCATGTGTTGGCACGTTGACGACAGCTATTAAGCAGCTTGATTTCGTGAAATCCGTCAACATAGCTCTTCTGACACATAGCGCGACTCTCACAATGTTGGGCCCTAGGGAGAATATCGACAAGGTTCTGGGTTTGATTGATGACCTTGGATTCGAAGGAACTCTTGACAACATTTCTGAGAAGTTGCCTAGGACTTCCCGAGACGTATTTGTGGCCACTGCCAGCATCGTCGGGATGACATGTGGCTCTTGCGTGGGCACGATAACTCGCGGAATTCAAGAGCTCCCTTTTGTTAAAAATGTTGCTGTCGATCTTCTGGGTGCTAGCGGGAAGATTGAATTCGAGGGAATTGAAAGACTTGGTGAGGTTATACAGACGGTCCAGGATCTCGGATATGATATCGCAGTTACTGAGTGTCTGCCCCTTAATGGTGATGAAACTCAAAAGGACAATAATGCCCCACTGAAACGAACGGTTGCGATTAAAGTCGATGGAATGTTTTGCCATCACTGCCCTGAAAAAATTTTGAATGCCTTGGAATCTATGGAAGATGAATCACTTTCAGTGGATGAAAATCTTGACCTTAAAAAGACAGTTGTGACGGTCACATACAAACCCGACCCCCCATCTATGACCGTTCGAAGTATCATTGCAGCCATAGAATCTGCGAATCCCGCTTTCAAGGCCACTGTTTACCACCCACCAACTATCGAGGACCGCTCACGTGCGATGCAGCTTCACGAAAGACGGCGACTCCTCTCACGCTTGCTATTCACATTCATCGCCGCTATTCCCACATTCTTTATAGGCATCGTCTGGATGTCCCTGGTGCCGCCAACCAACGAAATTAGAAAGTTCTTCTACCAACCTATATGGGCTGGGACGGTATCACGTTTGGAATGGGCGTTGTTCATCATTACCACGCCCGTTATGTTTTACGGTGCCGATGTTTTCCATGTCCGTGCTTTTAAGGAGGTTAGAGCCTTGTGGAGACCTAGTAGCAGAGTGCCTATTCTGCGAAGGTTTTACCGGTTTGGAAGCATGAACCTGCTCATTTCTGCAGGCACTTCTGTGGCTTACTTTGCATCTGTCGCTGTGTTGGCTGTCGGAGCCAGGTCGCAGGGACACCAAGGCCACATGTCGACATACTTTGATACGGTCGTTTTCCTCACAATGTTCATTCTTGCTGGAAGGGCCTTGGAAGCGTACAGCAAAGCTAAGACTGGCGACGCTGTTTCTATGTTGGGTAAACTTCGTCCTTCTGAGGCCCTTTTGGTCGTTGATTCTTCTGCTCCGGATTCTCCCCGGAACAACGTCCAACGCGTCAGCGTAGACCTTTTGGAAGTCGGGGACATCGTCAATATACCTCATGGCACATCCCCTCCAGCAGACGGGATTGTAACCGGTCCAGGTTCATATAAGTTTGACCAGAGCTCATTAACGGGAGAGTCGAAACCTGTTGGAAAGAATGCGGGAGATAAAGTGTACTCGGGATCTGTGAATGTTGGGCAACCGGTATATATTCGGATATCCGACATTGGCAGCACGTCGATGCTCGATCAAATCGTTGCTGTTGTTCGAGAGGGGCTGACGAAACGCGCACCCGTGGAAGGAATAGCGGATATTATGACTAGCTATTTCGTCCCAGTAATCACACTTCTCGCTATCACGACTTTCGTGGTCTGGCTCGGCTTGGGACTCATGGGTCGTCTTCCGGATGATTACCTTGATTCAGCCCAGGGTGGATGGCCCTTTTGGGCTTTGAAATTCGCAATCGCAGTTTTTGTGGTTGCTTGTCCATGCGGCTTGGCTTTGGCGGCCCCCACTGCTCTTTTTGTTGGAGGTGGTCTTGCTGCCAAGCGAGGAATTCTTGTTAGGGGTGGTGGCGAGGCCTTTCAGGAGGCTAGCCGTCTTGAAGCTGTTGTGTTTGACAAGACGGGAACGTTAACCGAAGGAGGAACGCTACGAGTGTCTGATCATGAAGTGTTTATCAGGGACCAGGAGCAGCAGCAGGTCGCCTGGAAATTGGCGCAGGTTTTGGAGGAGAGCAGTACACATCCAATTGCAAGAGCGATATCCAATTTCTGTGCGGAGAAATCTTCTATATCTCTCATTTCGTCGACAATTACCGAGATCCCCGGTCAAGGCATGATGGGTAAGTTCTCAATGGAGGTAAAAAGTCCAAGCTCTGTTGAGCACTTTGTAGGAATTGAATACGAGGCAGCGATTGGAAGCCAGCGACTACTCGAAACTCTCCTCAGCAAAGAGGAGGCTGATCGTTATTTCCTGTCCAACACTCTCACAAAATATCAGTCTGAGGGAAAGTCCACCGCCATCCTTTCCATCCGCAAAATATCAGATACCTCCTCCACATTTACCCCTGCCATCGTCTTCGCGACATCCGACCCAATACGAGCAGAAGCAGCAAATGTGATTTCTAGCCTCCAGTCGAAGAACATCGAAGTTTTCATGTGCAGTGGAGATAACTCAATGACAGCAAATGCTGTGGCCTCTGCAATTGGCATACCGGCATCGAACGTCATGGCCAACGTCCTCCCACAGCAAAAGGCAGAATATATCCGTCAAATACAGGAAACAAAACTTTACAATGCCGACGCCACCAACAATAGCAAAAGGACTAAAAAGAAACGCATCGTCGCCTTCGTTGGTGACGGCACAAACGACTCCCCCGCTCTCGCTGCCGCAAATGTCAGCATAGCCATGGCCTCCGGCTCCGATATCGCCATCAATTCCGCAGGCTTCATCCTCCTCAACTCAGAGCTGAACACCATTCTCGAACTGTGCACCCTCAGCCACCGTGTCTTCAATCGTGTCAAATGGAACTTTGGTTGGGCAGTGGTGTATAATGTGCTTCTGGTGCCTATTGCTGCAGGAATCCTTTATCCCATTGTCACGGGAACAATGATGGGAGATGATGGGAAGATGGTGAACAAGCATTGGCGGCTTGATCCTGTCTGGGCTAGCTTGGCCATGGCGTTGAGTAGTGTTTCGGTGGTATGTAGCAGCCTGGCGCTGAAGATTGAGTGGAGGAGGACTAGAGCGTGCATCGAGAAGAAGGTGCATGATTGGCGAAGGGGGTGAGACTGTGAGGGCGTGATGTTGAAGACGTCAGGGAAGTTTCCCCTGAATTTCAGGGTCCACAGAGAGGCTATCTCGCGATAATTTGTAATTAATTATCTGTAATTTCGAAATTATCTTTTACTTTTTTTGTTTTTCTCTCGGTCTTCGTCTTGAAGGTAGAGATTCCCATTTACTTAATACTCCCTACACCCTATTTACTTTTCCTTCGTTGGGGAGTTCAAAAATTTGTTAAAAGGGAGAAAAAGTGGGACAAATCAATGAATCACGATTATTTCCCGTATTGATTCATTCCTTTTCACCCCTCAATATTGATTAGTTACAACTTTTCCTTCTGCTCGTACTTGTGTCCTTATCAATAGCACCACAAAAAATTGAGGATTTCAATTATTCACACCCGTTGAGAATCCGATCCGCCTCCGACAAAACCCTTTAAAGATCTAAATTCACAGCAAAATCATTTCATTCACGTGTTATTTGATTCACCTCTATCTAAAAACCCTTCCATAATCAGCAAATGAATAGCCATAGAAAGAAACCAATGCATATATACGTATAAACATACTTGAGACCCAGTGACACAAGTCCAATCTCGATGGGTCAACGGATTGACAAGCTTCAGTTCGAGAACTCGGTTACTGATATTGCTGTAGATGACGGAAACAATCGCAGTCCGTAACTGTTGTGTGTTATTGATAAAGATGTCATTCATAATGTTGTTAAAAGCAAAGAAGAAAACAAGGTGATAGTTGCGTCAGTCCATGTTGACATGTGTGAAATCCTCAGCAATGCGAAATTTTAGTTTAGTAAAACTAAGAGTCTCTCGAAGCAGTATAGACGGATCATTTAAGACATCGTAGTATCGTATGTCGGTGATAAGGCAGAGTGATGATGCACTTAGGGGACTTGTGACCGTCTACACAATAATAACGAATCCAGCAATACTTTCGTCATCTGTAGGTTTTGGATGGACAGGTGATTCGACGGGCTATATCTTAGGAGACTCGTAGAGAGCAGTGGCCATCCTTAACAACGGCATGTTTTGGTTAGGGTTGATTGAGTGAGTTGTATCTTAGGTCTGGAAGGCATTCGTCCCTAGCTGTGTTGGTCCACCTTCAATAGAAAGTTGGGTATTGCTTGCAAGGGTCGCTTTCTGAGCTTGACTTTGTGGCATCCATCTGAGTTGTAGCAAGGGAAATATCCCTGGTTGAATCCGATGCGTTAGCTCCTGATTGTTTGGACGTTCGGGCTCTAGATAAAGCCGATGATTGAGTTCTGCGATCTGTCTCCTTGAAATTGTGACCATATTTTAACCCAGTGATTGTATCCGCTGCTTTCATGTGAATGAAAATAGATGTAGAGTTTCTCCACCACTGCTCTTCCAATCTGTTCCGCCAGATCAGGACCGCGCAAAAGAGCATCACAAAGGTTAAAAATAAATCCCTTAACCACATTTCCAGGGGTAAACAATCTTCTTGTTGCTATCTCATATCCATGAGAAACTGGATTTGAAGATCGGGGAGGCTCACATCCTGATGAAACATCGTACATAGCAAAATTGATGGAGAAAAAAAAAAGCATTAACACGGGCAAGAAGTTATACAGATAACAACCTAGCAAACTCAGATAGGATTATAAGTAAAGTGTAAATCAAGACGAGGATAATAAGATAATCTTATAACTGGTGAAGACGAGAGAGAGAAAAGATAAAAAAAGCAAACTGTAAAAACAATGCCTCTTCAATCGATTTTATGCATACTTGTCAATCCCTTTAGACTTACTATTCTCATTAACCCCCCAAATCTCCGCGATCTTCTTGCTTACCAATTTCCCAATTTTCTTCCTCCCCACCAACCCTCCTAATTTCTCAAACACCATATTCTCCATCGCAGCAGTGCCACCACTTCTCCCACGGCCAGTCCCACCTCCACTGCGCCCGTGATAAGCCTCTTCAAACGCCTCGACAAACTCTCTTGGCGTTTGCCAGTGCCGCTGGATCTCCAGCGCTTTATCAGCTGTAACGCCTCGTGTGCACATGAGCATTTTTAAGAAGATGTCGCGGAGAGTGAGCATTTCTGATTTGGAGGCTAGGGAAGAGAAGGTGGGGAATGTAACTGTAAATGTTGATCTTCTTGTACTTTGCGTTGGATTATGCGTATGATTTTGCTGGGAACGGAGGTAAGCAAGGAGGTCTAGGTAGGATTGTGGGGAGGTGATATGTTTGGTTGGAATGATTAAGAGTGGTGATTGGTTCGAAGCAGAAGCAGTGGTGGTCGGAGTAGAGGTGGTGTATATCCCTCGTAGTAATTTGGTCATTCGAGCTAGGTATCTGATGGTATCGTCTAGACTACGCGTTTGCTTCACGAAGTACCCATTCACGACCTGCGTGGACGCAATGGCTGACGCGACGTGCTCATGATACTTAGACCCCGTAATGCCTGCATCAGCAAAGTCTTCGATTAAGTAAACGGCATTCCGCACCCCTGAGCGCCGTAGACGAAATTTCTGCTCATGGAAACGTCCGTCTTTGATACTGCTGACGAGATCATCGAGGCGTTTTCGCTCCACGATCCAGTCCAGCATGACTTCATCGCCCTCCTCGCCATGTCGTGTGAGGAAGGTTGGATCTTTGCATTTTGCGACCCAGAGTACATCGCCAACTTCAAGGGAGCGGACAATGGGGTTTATGCCTTTCTTACTTAGTTCGTTGGAGATATAATCTCTGTCTCTTGTGGAGCGAATTTCGCGGACATCGAGGACAAGTTCAACGGTGAAACTGTCTGGTGCGAGGGCAATTGGCTTGATTGAAGATGCGGATAAAGATATGCCTTTGCTCTGGGGTGGCGAATCTCCATTCGATGATGTTGGTCGTCCAATGTTTGCGGAAATATCTTGCACGCGTGGAATTCCTTGGTTAGACCTATCTAGAAAATCGAAATCATCTAGATCTATGGTGGTCCGCTTGGGACTAGGGTGACGAAGAGGAGAACGCGGTTCCAAGGCACTGGGCAGGGGGGTTGTCCGATCTACAAGCCGATGTGATCCAATCGGGTTCCCTGACGAAATTTCGCCAATCTGCGATGTCTAGAGTACAATGATTAGAACGACGAACACAGATATACCCAAATATGGCAAATGTAGCGAAGCAAGAACTACCCACTTGGCTATATCCGCTTTGAAATCCATCGGAACCCTCCTTTGGCAAAGTTTTTTTAATCTTCTTCGCAATCTCCCATCCGTCCTCAGTGAGAAGATACCTTCTCGAAGACACCCGACCATACTCATAAACAAGATCTTTCTGTACTAAAGTTTTCATTGAATTCCAAGCAGTATAAAACTTGGACGGATCAGGTGGTACTGAATATGAAACATCACAATATGGCTGAGCAAGCTCAATGAGTTGCTGTTTTGTCAGCCCCAGAGATGAATTTTCATTTACGGATGCAAGCCCCAGGAGCAAGCCATAGGGACCGGATCGCAGGATTGGAACATAAGGTTTTACTTTCTTTGGCTTTTTGGCCGTTTGGCCCTCAGCATTTCCATCATTTACTGTTCTTTTTCGAGCTGGAATATGGAATATTAGTTAAGGTTTGATGCATAAATATATCTTGCAAGGGCGAGATTTTCAACCTTGTTTGGGTAACTCAGGCAAGGGAAGCCCATTTTGTACACAATATGCATTCAACTTCACGGTTAGGCGATCACATAGCTTTGGTCCAAAGCCATTGAGCTGCTGCGCCTCTGAAGGGTGGTTGAATGTCAAAGGGCATGCCTTCATTGAATCATAGGCCTTTTTGTATCTGGAGCAGTGTGAAATTAGCATGTCGGTTTTATCGAGACGGCAAAAATCATGAGGATCTGGGAAGCATATATTACACATTAAAGCCTTTTGAATTTCGCTCCCGCGCCTGATCCAGCCATCCTTTTACCCATTCGAGCAGTAATGGATTCGCGCAGGAATCGTCTGACATGCTGATAATGGCTAATGTTTTTCAACCTAGCACTTTCCACCCAAATTACAGCTATTGATAAACGTTATCAGTTGCATCGTCTCCTTGGTTATGGGATTTTGGCATTTGTTCTCCCACAACATCGTTAATGTCCCGCTCTTGGGCTTGTGTTGATGTTCAATTTTCAACGAGAAGTCGTTCAACATAACGGAGTCACGAGACAAACGCGAGGTCAGGTGACTTCATTAGCTGCATCTTGATCCTGCCACTTCAGACCTCAACATTTGGCGATGTAATAATAATATGAAAATGCTCAATATCCACGGACTAAGGTCCTGTTAATTGCGGAAACAAACTTGTGTCCATTCGGCCCGCCGCTGTGGGTTTCATATGGACTTTGTGTTTACATTCCACCCAAACCAGAACAGAACCAGAAGATGGTGGTATTGATTTGAAAGGAAATGGGTTATTTTTAATAGCTTAAATAGACTCCCTCACTTCTTCTACTTTCAGACAGGCTCTTCGATTGCGTCTCTCCATAATTGTGTGCGTCAATCCCCACGGCCGCGACCCTTCCCTCCACACACTATCACAGCATTTTGTGTGTCAGCGCCTACTTTGTTCACCTTTCCGGGGTGGGCAACCCAGAATTGGCCGAGTGAAGTATCAAAACAGCCCTCTCTGGTCATCAGGTTCTCTGCAGCTTCTAATTCTGCCATACTGCCTGTGTTCTCTTCTAATCTCATTCTTTCTTCTATCAGTAGCTTATTGAGTGTCTTTTGCAGCACTATATGTGCTGTACTTCTTAATAAAGTACTCACACTCTTAATTGACTTACTTCAGATTCTTTTCACTGTTTTCTAAGTTATTTTGATTATAAAGTCTTACTTTTGTTAATTGCTTTTGTTAAATCTATTAGATTTGTAAAATGTTTAAAATGAAAATAATATTAGTATTATATTGAATAATATTTTTACAATAATCAATATAGAAATAGATTTAATATTAACTTTTTAATAAAAATTAAAATTAAAATTATATTAAATATATATTAAAAAATAATTAATTTATAAGCATATTATCTACAAAGTTAAATAAATTAAAAAAAAAAAAATTAAATATTTAAATATTTTTGATTATAGTTACTTTTTTGCAATTTTTCTTTATTTAAAATTGACAAAAGTTTAAATTAAGTAGTTATAGTTTAGAGATAAGCAGTATATAACTAATTTTACATTACCAAAACATCTTGAAAAGCATGTTGAATGGGTGAGGAAAAGAAGACCAGGTTGGCAAGAGTATATATGTAAGATGGCTTATACTTTACAATTAGGTGCTATATTTTGACCAACAACTGATCCTAGCAAATTGTAGGTTGGAAGAAGAGATGTGGATGAAGTCGGGCAGGATTTGCATATATCATGGCGGGCAGAGCAAATGAAATGACAGCTGCGAGAAGAAGAGACAGCTCACAGAATGCTGTTTTGAAACTCATAGCTCTGCTGATATCCGTGGTAATTCTGCCCAAGAGAACCGGCAGAATTCGGATGAAAATCAGGGTTAGAGCAGTTAATCTGTTCTTTTATCCCTCAAATCATTTTGGCCTGTAAATACTGCTGAAACAAATGCCCAGTTTTACTGAGTACCGCGTTTTACAAAAGTCCGCCAACCACGAAAAAAACGACGATCGACCCAGGATAAACATCAGGAGACCACCTATGGACGTGCCATTTATCTCAGAGGAGGATGCAACACCAAAGAAACTCAGGGACGAGGGTGGATCCCATAGAGTCAAACCTCGGGCATGGATACACCCCCCAACGACGGATCTCAGTGTTGTCATGAAAGAAACAAGTATTCATGCCCTTATGCTGGGCCCGCATTCATGCAACACATTTTTCACCACCTCTGGCCATGCTGCAAGACATGGAAGGAGGTATATCAGTCAAGAAAACTTCTGTTGCCCTGTTGTGTAACAGGGCATTCACGCGAAAGACCATGAGGTTTCACCAGAAAACAATGCATGGTCCATCAATTCCAAACAGCTGGGGAAGGATGGAGGGGCAGAAATCAATCCCTGTTCAGTCAAGATTAGACTGACCTAAATCATAAACATCAAGTCGAGTAGCCAACAGAGGAGCGGTCACTTTGAAGCATGTTGAAGAGGCTTGGGTGAATAATTTGAACTGTGATATTTTGGGCCGTGACCCGTTGTCAATATAGTTAGTATATGTGGGAGCCATCCTTCAGTGTGGACAGTGTAATTAAACCAAGTTGAATACAAAAATTGATTTTTGTGAGAGGCTGACAGAGCTCAAGAAAAGATCGGCGATTACTGGTTAATTCCAACAATAAATGGTAACTATATAGTATATCCAGGGATTGATAAATACACTCAAATACAGTCCTCAAAAAATCACCATTCTAAATCAAACATAGCGTGTACACAGCTGTACACCCAAAATAACTAGCCGCTCTTACAGCTGGTAGGCCCAACCCCTCAATTCATTACCAATAAGTAATTGTGAAATATCTACGGAGTACGGAGTAGTTACAAAATTCATCCTTCCTCCAATTCACCCGTGCCAGGCCTTGGCTCTGCATGGGGTGGCTCATGCAGAACTGAAATATTCTCCTGTTGTCCTGCTCTCCTCCCAAAATATCAAAAAACACACTGTTTATCGCCTGAGAAGCGATCTCGTAGTGGGATTTTCCGGACAGTTCGATTTCTCCGCCCTGGTGAGCACATGGGGGAGGTTAGGGTGGCACCTCGTTTTCTTGAGGATTCGATTCCTCAATTCGCCTTAGAAGAGCACTGCTGCTGCCACCTACCCTCCCAGCATCTGTCATAGACTGTTTGCTGCTTGTCAGCGACAGGGCGACTGTAGGGTATTTATTTGCCCTCATATCAAAGCTCCTGTTCTTTCATCTCAGGGCGCGTAGGCGCCCTGTGTATAGTCCCCATGCCCCCTAGCCTAGACATTGGAGCGCTAGTTATTTTGGGTGTACAGCTGTGTACACGCTATGTTTGATTTAGAATGGTGATTTTTTGAGGACTGTATTTGAGTGTATTTATCAATCCCTGTCCGAAAAGGGAAAAACCACTTGATTGATATTCTGATCTCTGTTCGACTCTTTCAAAAAGGCCCAATCCCAAGTATTCTATACTGGACTGAAGGCACAACTCCAGAGGGGTCACCTGATCCCTAAGACTCTCATCCCTCTCTATCTCTTATGGATTTCACCCGGTTTTTTATAACCGTGGAATATCCAATTTTACCCTATTTTCTATATGGCTTATGCCAGCCACTTTACATAAGTCAATTTGGAATCCAGTTTTATCAGATTCTTCCGAATCCGGAAGCAATGAACGTAAAATCAAACAAAGTCGGTTTGTGGCGTTTTACGTGGATATATAGTGTACAGTAGTGAGTTGGCTCCGGTAGCAGACTCCCGTTTGACACTAGCTAATTCTATTGTTGGAGTCAGCCACGATTATATCGTGTGTCATGTCTGATGTGCTGCTGGCAAACGTTGATCCTCGTTGTTTAGGCTACAGAACTGGTATTTAATGGACCTTCTATCCTCTCGTTCCCCACCGCTCCAAGATTATCACCAATCTATGTGTTCCCACTAAGTTCCTGGTACCCGTTTTACTTTTTGATATAACTTTTTCATCCCTTTCCAATGGCCGATGACGGTTCACCGGATTACAAGGCGCTCTTCCTTAGGGCGGAAACGGAACTAAGGCAGGCAGAAGAGCGAGTGAGACGGGAAGAAGGGTTGCGAAGGCAGGCAGAAGAACGAGTGAGACAGGAAAGAGTGCGCACTCAGAAGACAACACTCGGGGAGCTCATCAAAAGTTGTCATGATTCATTCTCCCGGCCTTTGCAGGTTGGAACGCCATCCCGCTCCACAAAGGGGACTATTCCACTACCCGCTGGAAAATACTGCCCCACATATCTTTGCTTTTGGTCCAGCTGTCCAGTTCAACTGCAAGATACCTATGATGCCGTTTCCAATTTCCTGCAACCAACTGGAAAAGATGCACCTCGGCTATTCACATCTCTTCTTGAGCTGAATGGACTTGGTCAGCGATATTCTTCTCGAATACTACGAAGTGAAAAGGATCTGGAGAATTACGAGCGAGCTGCAGTGGAAGACCACGTCCATGATATCATAGCTGAGCTATGTAAAATACCTGATGCCCGAGAGAGATTCCGGCTTGGTGATGGGATCACGTTTGAAAATCATGAAAATCTTCTACGGACGTCAGAAGAGTCAGATAATTATGACGCAGAATTGATTGATGAATCCAGTTTACAGCATCCCAACCCAGATTCATTCTGTATTCATCGAATCAACAATTCAACCAATATTTTACTTATGACGGTTGAGTATAAACCACCACACAAGCTCTTAGTTGAAAATCTCCGAGTGGGTCTTCGGTCAATGAGGTTCTGGGAAGAAGTTGTTCAGAGAAACACAATCCCCACAGGCAAGGATGAAAAGCTGAGATATAATGCAGAACAGCTTACTGGCTCAGCATTGGTTCAGGAGTATCATGTCATGATTCAACATGGACTGGAATACTCCTACATAACTAATGGACTTGTTATCATTCTTCTTCATGTTCCATATGATAATCCTAGTTCACTCTATTATTATCTCTGTGAACCAAACATGGACGTGATTTCAGAGGATCCTGAGGTATTTCACCCATCAAAGACAGCTGTTTCCAGAATATTATGTCTCTGTCTGATGAGCTTTCTTTCAAATATCCGTGATCATAAATGGCGGAATGCTGCAAGATCTCAACTACATATATGGAAGACAAATTTTGATTTTGCACGGTCACAGATCCCTGATGAAGAGCTGCGACAAAGTCCTCCAGGATCAGTATATGCAAGCTCAGAATATATGCCCTCTGAACATCTGCCATTGTCTCCATTTCAGCTCAGTCATCGAATTTTTACCCGATCTCAAGCTGCCTGTACACCAATGGACACTTCACTTCGGAGTAATCATATAGATTCTTCTGGCTCTGATTCTGATCAAGCAACACACAGTCGGAAGCGGGGCTTCAGTCAAGTAATGTCTTCTCCACCTAGCCAGCGTCCATCAGTTCGTTCAGAAGGTACCAAATCATCAAGCAGGCAGAGCCAACACACAGCACCTTACTGTACACAGCGATGTTTATTGGGTTTGAAACAAAAAGATGAATTGGATCATCAATGCCCCAATGTTTCTCTCCATCAGCAAGGCCAGAATGGTGATCGACATCTTATTGATGCAATGAAGCTGGTGCATCTTCTGAAGGAACAACTTGATCATGACCTTGATCATAACTGTACACCATTTGGAATATGTGGATCATATGGTGCACCCATCAAGATCACCTGTGCTGCATATGGCTACACTGTAGTTGGAAAGGGGACAACATCTGGGCTTTGGAAACATGTTTCACGTGAAGCGGAGATATACCAGGTTCTTCAGAAAGCACAGGGTTCGGCTGTCCCTGTATTCCTGGGGGCGATTGACTTGAAATTGATCTTTTTTATCCATCGTGCTGGGGACATCCGCCATATGCTTCTTATGGGTTGGGCTGGGGAAAAATTAGAGAATGACAATGACAGGTGGTCCTCGGCGCTACACCGTGAAATCTCAAAATCGAAGAGGGAAATCCGTATGCTGGGAGTCGTGCATAATGACTTGCGGCCTGATAACATGTTATGGAATATCGAACTGCGTCGGGTTCTGATCATAGACTTTCATCGATCTACCATAGACCCACGCCCGATGAAACAGCGGGTTGGATCCTTGAAAAGGTCACTCGATCAGCCGGACATGTCAAAACGATCCCGTATTAAACATAGCTGGGCTGAGCACGATATTTCTACTACAAGAGGATCAGGCATTCACAGTAGCTCCTGAATGGTATAGGTTGCCAAGATCTCCAGTTACATTGCTTTACGTTGATCCTTGGGATATCTATCAATCACAGTAAAACACTGAAATTCTTGATGTGTTACAATGATGGGCGAATGGCAGTTCACAATGCGTCTGTCGCTTCGATGATAGTATTCTTGAGGTTCGATACGAGGCATCAATCGCTGGTGATGCAATCCGGTGGTATTGGACAAGAGGTTGACGTACCATTTATATGGGGCAGCGATTTCTAGTATTTCCAGCATGTTTTCTTCCTACATCTTATGCACTTCTATAGCAATTTACTTCTCTTTCCCCATACCACCTACAGCGCTTATGCCCTAAGCATCCATATCTCCTTCCAGGAGCTTCCTATTTATACCTGGAGTTGTAGCCGCTGTATTCTCGCTCAATGGCATCCACACTTTCTATGCTTCGACTTTCGCGTCAACGGGGCAAGGTCCGTCAACCAGCAAGAGAGAGAAAAAATCGTGCAACAAGACCCGTTATACCCCTAGCCACACTAATGAGCGGCAGAACGTTCCCGCATGCATAACCGCACGAAGGTCCTAACAATCACCAGTTTTTAGAGTGCCCCATCGTCGCAGCCAACAATCCTTGTATTCAAGGCGGAAGGCGAGTTCGCCCGCTGCTGCAGCGGGTATTACAATTAATGGATACAATGGGTAGGGCATCGAAAATTTGGTCGGTCGTGAAGAAGACCCATTCCCTTGTTTGACCCCCCTCCATCTCTTTCGCTGAGAATCCTTCCATGACTCTCAAGCCCCGACACCGGGGAATCAGGATCAATGGCAGGTCTAGCTGCATCGAAGCAGCGATCAGCGTAATGGACAAGAGCTTGGAGGGATGCTTCGTCAGTACGATTGAGATAGAGAGAGTTTCCAATGCTTCGATTTGGATATCGTACGCGGCCGCATTGCTTGGGATAGTACAGATATGCCCCTTTAGCCCCAAACCCTTCGACCACCTCCAGGGTCTCATATGACTGGATCACACCTCTGATCAGAAACAGTTGGGATGATAATTTCTTCAGGATTCTCACTGAAGAAGAGAAAGAAGCATTTCTAAGATATGGGTTGAAATGATTCATTGGATTTCCTAGTTAAATTAACCCGTATTTACTGGCTACATACAGTTGAATTTTGCTAGTGATGATTTTATTGATCATGAAAGAACAACTTTTAAATGGAAATGCTGTTTCTTCACATAAACTAGTATATAAAACAATATGCAGGCAAGGTAACGTTCAGGGACAGCAGCCTACTGCCAGGTCTTCAACAGTAAGGACGAGTAGAAGTCTTCCTCTTATAACTATGTATATGTTCGTCTTTGTAACTTTAATAAACTAACGCCTGGTTTGACAGTTAACCTTTTGTAACCAAAACTCAGAGCCCCCATTCCTTCTTCCTGCCTGACCCGTATAAAACTCTGCGCCCGCCTTCGTAGCTCTCATTTTCTTTTCTTTTCTCCTTCTAATGAATTCGTCTTTTTGTTATATAAGTGCTAGTGCCGTATTTGGTAGCACGCCTGTTACACTCTTCCCTGCTTGCTTGCTGCAATTTTCTCTTTTTCCTGAGTCACGCAAAGCAATTACCCTTGTTGAAGAGCTAACATGATGAGTAGGCTGGTGAGCTTAGAGGGAAGAACTGCAGAATTCAGAAAAAAAAGAATATAATTAACATTCTTCAAATACAGCAGTATTGAAAGCCTCTAGATCTTATTTACATGATATTATTTAATTATACAGCTCAATCTTCTTCTGTTGTAGATTTGTATTTACAAATATACGGTACTTTTGAAAAAAATTTTCTATCTTATACTTTAAATTACATTCTTTGTTTTATTGTTTATAATTTAATTTAATTTTATTTTATTTAATTTAATTTATTTTTTTTTTTACTTTCTTCTATCATAAGATAATAGAACTTATTTTATACTAATTTAGTAAAAGTTTTTTTTACATTTAAAATTATTTTTATTCTAATAGTTTTCTAATAAAGTTTATAAAAAGTTTTAATGGTTTTTTAAAGTACAAAGATAATAAACAGTCTATTATACTAAAAGTTTAATATAGCTAATTAAGTGACAAAGCTTTGATATAAACTTCAAGACTATTTTTGAGAATCTTTACTGATAAGTTATCATTGATTAAATATAATTTAAATTTAAATATCTTTAGCAATATAATTACTTAATATATTACTATTGCATATTCATTAATATATATATTATTTGTAAAGTAGAGATGACATATAAATATTTTAAGAAACATATATTAAAGATAAAATTAATATATTATTTAGTACTTGATTTAAAAACATTTTCATTAAATATTATCTTTACTCAATTTATTACCATTAAAAATAAATATATATATAAAAATTACTAGTAATTTCTTATATATTAATGTTAAACTCAGTTAATATATTATAAAAAAATTTATTTTTATTTTATAAATATATTAAATTTAAGCCATAATTATAATATTAATAATATTTACTAATAGATTTTTACTTATAAAAAGTTAACAACTGAATTTCTTAGAATTAAAAACTAAGAACACTAAGTAATTATTATATATTATTTAAAATTACTAGATTTTTATTGATTGATTTTATAGTATATATCAATTATTAAATTAAAATCTAATTAATAATATTAAGAAAATTAAACTTTTTAGCACTATTAATTTTGAAAAGTTGAAAAATAGATTATTTATAATTTCAAGATAGTTTTAAAAGTATGTGTTATCCTTCAAAATCAAAGTAAAATTTTTTAATAAACTTTTATAAACTTTGCAATTCTCTTAACTAATAAATTTAAATATTAATTTGTTAAATACTTTATATAAATTAAAAATTTATACGAAAATTAAATTTAATAAAAATTTAATATAATTATTAAGATAAAGTTTATATTATTTAAAATTAAAATATAGTAAATCTGCTTTAAAAGTAATATTAAATTTTTTTCAATATAAAAAGAATAGATTTCTTTTTAAACTTAGTTAAAACTGAAAAAAAACTCAGTTAAAATTATTATATAAATAAAATCTCATTTTTCTGATCTTGAAAACTAATGAAATTTACTTAACATTTCTAAAAACTTGATATTCTTAGCAAATCTGCAGAGAAGAAAAATTGAGAAAGTTAAATAATTTTAAAAGAAGAGTTTTTGTCTTTTTTATCTGAGTACTCTGTATTATCACTTAATATTGTTCTTTTAATCAAAATCAAAGACATCTGTAGTTCTGCTATTACTGTTAGTCTGATATATATATAAAGTCTGCTAATTAAAAGAACTTCTCTTACAGTGATTGATATGGCAACTTATAGACTTTTTGATTTTTCTCTTTATACACTGAACAATATTTATTCTCTCTCCTCTTTGAAACTCATTTGTACATGTTTATTGATGCTGTGCATAAAGCTGAAAGTAAATATTATTTTCAAGCAACTGTTATATAACTTGTTCTTTTATCTCATCACAATGTGAGAGATATAATGTGAGAGATAAAAGTGATGAGCATGATGAAAATAATGATGAGATACAAAAGATACTCAAGAAATAAAAATATCTAAAAAAAAACTTTTAAACAATATTTAATTAAAAATAGTTGCTAAAATTTTTACTTTTAAATATGAAGTTGAAAATAAAATCTTTAAAATAATGATGTGGTGTCATAGTTGAGTTTCTCTTTTATTTTAAATCTATTTCGCTGGGCTAAATACAACCATTTGAACTCACTTCCAAGTCATGCAGATGTATCTACATGCCTTTCCCTGGGAAAAATCATTCAGCGTTGTGGGACAGAGGCAGAACACTCTGTTATTCCCAGTTAAGATAAATATATGCTGGTCAATTGAAGCTGAATGCCAGCTGTCAGCATTGAGTCTTTTACGAGTAGACGCATACTGCCATTTGTCTCACATGGCTGGGTATTCTGGGACAGAAAACCCAGATGGCACAATTCCTTCACTTTTGTAATAGCTGTTTTAGTATATGAGAGCTGTGTTTGTTAGCGATAGGACGCAGGATATTCCTGGAGGCAGTGGAAATACTGATGCTTATGTTTTTTATAGGTTTAATGGCGGTTGTGGTGAGGTATAAGTTAAGAGGCAAAGAGTTTTTTAATACAGTGTTCTGGTTCGTGTTTATTATTTGGCTTTGTATACATAACTACGTCTTCAGACTCCTAGAAGCATCAGTTGCATCTAAAGTAGATACCTTTTTTCTTGATGATGTCTCTAGAAACAATAACAATTGTGTCCTTCATACTTCACGAACAATAATGATAATATATTGATGGAAACAGATTTCTTGATGCCCTGGCCAGCGGCCCGTGGGTTGAAGCGCTCAGACTCGTGGGGCTGAACAGGGGGCGTGCTAGTCCTAATGGGGCAACCACCTTTCTTCCAAGTTTCAAGTTCCCAGTCCAGAATAGGCCAACTGTTGAGAAAAAAAGGAAAAAGGCAAAAGAAAGGAGTGGAAGAAAAGGGAAATACAGCGCGCCAAAAGGGATATTAAGAATTAAGAAAAAGAAGCAAGGGCAGGAAAGCTGTGCTGTGCTAGTGCTAGGAGTGTACTGTAATATTACACAAAGGTGCAGGAGGTATTAAATCTGGACCAACCCCAACCAATCTTGGTAATGTAACCAGGTCGAACCTAGATAGCTAACTATGTTCTGGTCTGTTCGATTATTACATCAACTTATCTGTTCCAAGGTTTTCCCGTTCCCATACCGTATTATATAGCGTAATTACAGGACCGAAGGTGCAATTACAGCACGTCATGGCAAGAAACCAGCCACCGGTACCCACAGTCGGAACATTGAGTGTACCCACTGCTCCAGCTGAAGTGTAAGGACAGGAAGGTACCGTCCTGTACCTCCCATGTTCCAAGCCCTGTAACGGATTTGGCTGCTAAATACCATTCCTGTCAGGGCGTGAGGCCCTGCTGTGCCCATTTGGAAGCCAATTATGGATGGGTCATCAGTCAGCAGCTCCCCCCCCCCCAAAAGCCCCAGCTTCCAACTTCCACCTTTTCTACCCTCCTCTTCTCCGACGACTCCATTGACTTTCCCCCAACTCTCTCCATCTCCATCTCTTCTCACAGCTACTCCTAAACCCTTGACCAACGTCGGAAGAGAGTCCCAATTCCTATCTATTCTATCTCCCACCCACGCGGTCGCATCCGTTCCTCTCACCCTCGCCCTCACCCTCAGCTCTCACATACCTGAGCCGCAAATCCGCCATGTCCACCCGCAAACGCGCTCGCGGAGATGAGGAAGAAGAGCTCGTAGCTCTCCCTAGCGATGAAAGCGAAGAAGAAGAGGAGTATGTCAGATGTCTTTTTGTGTCCCCTTTTCTCATGGTCGATATCCTATCTTTTCCCTCTGTTCTCTTGACGTCATCCACGTCTATCGGCTTCTCCATGTAACAACTGTCCAACTGGGGGACTGCTACCGACAGATCCCCTTTCTATTTTGGTGCGATTGCGCTGGCTTCGTTGAATCTGGAGAGCATTGGGTTGTATTGGGTGCGGGGAAGTTGTTATCCATCTGCTTCAATCCCTACCTTTGCTTCGCGGATGAAAGGAGCATTCCCAGAGTGGCGCACCTCTCTAGCTGCACATAGCATGCCATAACAATAGCCATAGCCCATATCCCAATCATCAAGCGGGTAAAATGTCCAATCCAAATACTAACCACTTGTCTTTAAATTGATATAGATATGAAGAGTCCGATGCCGGCGATGAAGACGAGGAGCACGAGTCCGTATCCGAAGACGAATCCGAAGGTGGTTTTGAGAACGGAGAAGCCGAGGGAATGGAGCGTAAGATATTCCCCTTATTTTTATCTCGCCTTTCCCCTCTTGTATTTTGTTAGCTATCAAACCCACAAATGAATTGTCGCGGATATTTCCAAAATTTCCCTCCACCCCCGCCTCGATCCACTCCACACAATCTCCGACTTTCGGAGGATTTTGGATCATTGCTGACATATCCATTTCCCCGCCAACAGCGGTGCACAAAAAACGTAAGGTAGTTCCAGGCCCTGACGCTGAAGTCACCGGCGAAGCGGATGGGGTAGCAGAAGAAGAGGAAGAGGAAGAGGAAGAGGAAGAGGAAGAGGAAGAGGAAGAGGAAGAGGAGCTAGATGAAACTGAGAACGGCCTGGAAGCTGAATACGAGGACGGAGAGGGAGATGCGGAAGCGGACGCAGAGACCGAAGCAGAGAAACAGAAAGAGAATGGCGCGGCTTCAACGGTACCTACTGCGAAAGGCGCAGTGGCATCTGATGTTCCTGAGGTCCCCGCTTCGGCTCCAGCTCCAGCTGCGAAGGCTACTGCCAATGGCGCCCCTGCTGTGGCTTCTGTTACAGAGGTGGAGGGTGTTGGTGGCGCTGGAGATGGTGAATGAATGAGATAGGGGTAGTAAACGAGTACATGGGCGCGGGCTGTGTCGGGAAATAAACAAAGGAGGATGATGGTATCATTGAGATCTCGCTGTTGATTTCTTTTTAAGTCTTCGGTCTGTCATGTATTTTTTTTCTTCTTTGTTTTTTTTTCTCGCTTGCGTGGATTGTGTGCGCGGGTCTTTGCGTGTGGGAACCTTTCCTAGGCGGGGAGGAAGGATGGGGCGGGACGGGATACGGTTTTGTTCATTCTTTTTTACCTTCTCCTTCTCTTCGGGAGGGATTCGATGGGTTTATTTCATTGTACGGGAAATAAGAAAATAATAACGGTTTCTGTATTTTCTGGCCATGTATTCTTGGTTGTATTGTTGTCCGTATGCTTCCTTCATAAAGCTTTTTTTTCTTCCCTACTGCCTGATTTTTCGTGGACGAATTGAGTTAGATTCACGGAAAGTCAAGCTTCGTCGACGCTTAACCGTCTGTCAGATAGTGGCAAGGTATGTTGAGACGGTATTCGTGGACTCAATTGTAGGATTTGCACAGGCTACCAGGTGGTTTCCATACATACCTAGGTACCGTAGCTAGATTGATGGATGATGGAAGAACTTCTGGAGGGAAGAAAGAGGCAGAGAAGCTTTTTTATCTTTATCTTTATTTTTCTTCTTTTCTTTTTTCTTTCTAGTTCCTCTTTTATCTCATTGGATGGATACCTGTGTTTTAACCCTTGTATATGCATTAGACTGATGGATGTGCTGGCATCCTCTTTTCATTAACTATGATTTATGCAGATCTATCTATTTGATGACCCCACATCTGGCCAATGTCCAGCCTGTCAGTATGGGATTTTGTCGTATTAGTTACTATGTCCAAACACTTACGTGGACTGAGCTTAGGTTGTGTCTTAAAAGGAGTTTAAAAAACAACTATTTGCTTCATCACTAGTTTTTTTGGATTATTCGAAAGGAATAACTTTATGCAGGGTCCCCATATGCTGGAAACCTTTCCTCACATAGTGTATAGAAGTTGGGGGCAATAGTCAATAGACTAGCAAGTCAAATTGGAGAATAGGGATGAAGGAGAGAGCTCAATATATTAAATATAAAGGCAGTTTTTAGTACATTACATTGCTAAAAACGATACACAACAACACAACAATGATAGCAACCCACGATCGACTAAGGTATATAGGGAAATTATTGCCCGCTCAAGCTCAACTTACTTCTAGCAGCAGATTAAGCAGATTAATTTGGGAGAATAAAAACACGCTATATATCAAACCGAGTTCCAGACATATATCAAGATAATCGGAGGAAGTGCTTAATTTATAATTAGGACGGATGATGATGACAAGAGGAATGAACTCTAGGGAGAAACACGAAAGGTAACACGAGAAAGAAAAAAAAAAAAGGCTAGAAATGATTTTCTAGCCGTCACTACCGCTGCTTCTGAAGGTAGCACACAGCTGGCAGTAATGATGTGTTAAATCCAGCACAGGCTGTGGAAGGTTCGTGGCTTGAACGATGCTGCGCACTTTAACGGCGCCTTCTTCTTCGATTAGTTTGCGAATTGTGTAGAGAAGGTCCGGGGAAAACTGCATAGTCGGATTGGGAGAAAATTGGTTAGTTTCCAGTTCAAACAGGTTTGTGACATGGCAGAGAGAAGAAAGGGATGGTGGGTGGATTTTGTGGGAATTTATATGCCCTACTTACCTCTGAGTACCACCGATATTGCCATGCGATAAGTCTGATCAAGGCTCCAATCATTCCCCTCGTGTCGCCCTGGCGCTCATACATCTTCAAGATTCCCTTCATCGCCTTGGGGGAGAACCTGATGGATAGGCAGTGTTGGTAGGCTTCGATCGCTTCGTTGAAATGCTGGAGGCGATCTGCGAGTTCACCCAGGATCTCCCATTCCGTTGCTGATTTCTGATACTCTACAGCTTGTCGGCGGGATTGCTCCATTTCCGTCCGCCATATTGTATATACGCGTAAATCTTCGTAGAGAACCATGAATAGATTGTCGAGCCAGCGTTCGCATAGCCGTTTGTTCATGAACTGTGTATATGAATGTGATGCAGCATCGGGCTAGAGAAGATTTTAAAAAATGAGTTAATTATAAAGTTGCTTGTTTGTTTGACAACGTATCCATGGACGGAAATACAATCGCGGGTAGGAAACTCACATCTTCTCCGCCGGATTTAACAACTTCCGAAGCAACGGATTGCTCTGGACGCTCAATTGTCACAGGCTTCTCCTTGTTCTTCCTAGCTCTATCACTTTCCACCGATTCGGTCTCTTCCTCGCTTTCATCAATCTTTTCAGAGTCATGGTCAGCTACTCCGTTCCCGTTCACATCAGCACTCTCGCTTGATGATTCATGTAAAGCCACTGTGCTTGCATTCTGAACAGCTGTAGAAGATTGCCTGGCGCTGACTTGGCGTTCCGCTCTATATTCTTCTTCCATGACGAAAACTTCGCTTCGGATCTTCAGCAGCTGGTCCCAACCGATCGAGGCCGCAATTTTGGCGAGCATAGTGTAAGCACGCAAGAAAGTGCCCTGGTACCCAGCAGCAAGGAGTTTCCTGAGTGTAGGATGCACCTGGTCGTGAGGCTCCCCTTGTTTCGGCTGTCCCTCATCGATTTCATCCAGCATGCTTTCGGGAAGGATTGGCAAAATAATTCGAGAGGGCTGTGGCATTCTTGGCGAGTCCTTATCTTGGTAAGTAAACATTGGACAAGAGTTCAGTGTCAGAAGTGCCAAATCCCATTGTTCCAAGTTTATGTAGACTTCCACTAATCGAGCCCACGAACTGAATTCGCTGGGTGCGGCCGTTACGCTACGTTTAGCACATTCGAGTGCCATTTCGCCTTCACCTTTACTTTGGCAGAAATCAGCTTGGCAATCTAAGAGCGAATAATCCATTGGTAAATCCTGCAGAGCATCATGTAATAATCGTACGGCCTGGACCTCCTCATCTGCAGAAATAAGGACACGAGCGAGGAGCGACGATACTTCAACATCTCGTGTGCGTAGCTTTTCAAAAAGGTTTATGCCAGAAGCATATCTTCCAGTCGTATGGATGTATTTTAAGATACCGGACGTTAGGTGGTTGGTAACGGTGTTTGGAACTTGCGTTTCCGGATCAGAGCTTAGCTGCCTCCCTACGGCCGTCATTAGCTCAGGCGCCCAACGTAGGGTGTGGGTATATCCAAACCGTTGAAAAACAGTTTCTCCGCAGCATCGAGAAATTTGTGCTCCATCTCTGTGTTTGTGACGGGGTTGAACCTTCTCACGCCAACAATCCTTTTAATGCTGTCGCCGTTGCCGTTATCTGCATAAGCGTAGGCCCTAAGAACTCCACATAGGAACGTTTCGAGCCATAATATGTCTGTCGCAACCCTTTTATCGCCGCGCTCATCGATACAGTAACTCTCGAGGCTACCTGGAATCTTGACCTCGACTCGCATGTCAACGTGGGAGAAGGCGTTGTAGCAACTGTTAAAGCCGTCAGCATTTGATGCAATTACGCATCCCAAAGTCCCTTACCAGTATATCCCTGAAACCACCTTATGGTTCTTGTCGACAGGAGAGTATGTAAGGGTATTGACGTAAGCAGCCAAACTGGCTGACGATGAGGCATCTATCCCTGTGACATGGTGATAAACGCCAGTCTGTCAGAAAATGAGAGAGGATGTTAACATACATCATGATCCTTGATTGGAATGGCATACGCGCACATACCTGGGTACCTGTACTGGTCTTCGATTGCTTGACCACATGGACCAGATCTACGGGCCCTAATTCCCGTAAATTCTGCAACGACTCCGTGCGAGCATCGATTGATGCGTAGATGTTCTGCTCCTCAATGATCCTGTATGAAAGGTTATATTAGCAATCCGAAATGGCGCAGCACAAAGTTCATCGATATGCAATATCAAAAATCCAATAATGGAGCCATCTGAAATAGATGCGTACTGTGGAGGTGACTTACTCCGGGATCGCAGGGGCAATCATGGTGCTCTGTAGTAGGCGCAAGAACAGGTGTTATTTAAGATACGTGGGAATGGACGGCGGCGTAGAACATGGACAGCATTCCACAGGGTGGAAAGAGTCGAATTGCATCAAGACTTGTGGGTAGAGGACACGGATTGATTCACTGCTTGGTGCAAAGCCTTTTCGCAGTGGTTCAGTTGATGTGCAGGAGAATGATAAGCTCTCTCCCACTTGGAGACGGCCTTGAATGATAGTTGCCGCGCCATTCCAAATCGGGAATATTTGAACCTCCGCCCATCGAAATCGCGTTTCAAGCGATATTAATATATTGAGACCTTGGGCTTCATCGTGCACCCGTGCCTTGTATCATGTATTCTATTTTACATTACCTTTCCCTACGTGCCCGCTGCCTTATTCTACTATCTACACTGTTTAATCGATCGAAGCCGAAACCGTAATGCTGGCCTAGGTTGAATGGCTCTTGTTTTGGGCGCATTTACATCCCCCATTCTGCGCCTTTCAGTCGCCTCTCACAATGTCATCCTTTGTTGCCCTTAATATCGAGCCAGATGACTTCAGCGAGGAGGAAGTTGATGACACCAAGGAAATCCAAATCGAAGAAGCTTTAAAGCTCTACCATAATGCCTTGAAGCTTCATTCTCAAGGCCCCCGATTCTATGACCAAGCTTCGGAGGCGTACGAAGCACTTTTTAGGTCAGAAATATTCAACTATCCGGAGTCAATCTCGGAGTACAAGAGGAGCCAGCTTGAAGATCCTGAGCCCCAGTATGTGAGCTACTCTGAGGAGCCAGCAGCGGGACCTGCTGCTCTAGATGCTAGTGACACTGTTTCTAGTGCTCTACCCCAAACGATATATTTGTCCCACAGAAACCGAGGCCAGTTTACGCTGGATAACCTGAGATGGTTACTACGTTCAAAGAAAGAAAATGCTGATGACAGCAATGCGACCTCCGTTGATGTGTCAGCCGCTGCTGTTTCAGCCATCACGTCATTCGCCGAAGCCCTGGAAAGAGATGATTCCGATCTGGAACTGTGGAGGAAAAGTGCCAGGATTGGGGATGCGCTTCAGAGCCATCGCCTTGCCAGGTTTTGTCTAGAGAGTGTGTTGGAAGGCGATGATGACGGGTTAGACGACGGATTCGAGCAGTTAGGCCTGGAACAAGCCTTTGCGGGCGAAGATCTCCGTCAGGTACTTAAAGTCCTAAGTGATAAGCTGTCTATGTCGCAACGCCCGCTCAAGCGACCAAGAAAAGCTATCCTTCGCCTGCTACAAAAACATATTGACTCTTTTCCGTTCCTTCCAAAGCGGCTAGACCCTTCGAGTGCGTCTCAAAGCCTTCTTGGAGTTCAACCTCGTCGTTATGTGATCACACCTACGTCTGCAACCTGGACTACAGTAGGTGGGGCTATTTTACAAACTTTGCTAGATGAACAAAAAGACGATAGTCCTTATGGTCCGGGAGCTGCAATAGGAATTAAATTGCAGGGCAGCTGCGAGGCCACTACGATTTCACATTCTGCCCTTCCTATTATTCAGAAGTCTGAGAAAGACGCGCGTGAGAGCGGAACCGACCAAAATCGGGATCTCGAATTGCCTGATCCGGAATCCCAGCATGCTCCCAATTTACCTAAAGAGGGGGCTATTCTATCAAAGCCCTCAGTCGCCGATAATTCCCGCGCTAGCACCCGTTACTCCCCCCCGCTTATTGGCGGTGCTGCGGAACCCAACCTACCTCTCGAACAGCCTCACGATATTTGCAATGACAGCGTCCGTGAAAGAACCGACGAGAAGACGGAACAGAAGACGCCCCAGGCAGCCCATGATGAAGTCGATCAGCAAGCACCTTCAGCACAATCTCGAAAACGATCTTCTGCATCTATCGGAAATGACGAGCAACAAGATGGTGGACGAGCAAAAAGTCGTCGTATTCGTGCTCGCGAATCAAATGCCGAAGTTCTCGTGCAACCGGGTGTTGTGCCATTTGATGAAGCTAAATATTATGAAGACCGCCTGGAAGAGTTTGCACATGCTGACCAATGGATGTTTGGAGTTGTGGGGGCACTGCTATCCAAGTTTGGTGTCGAAGACCTGGGAACGATTGACGAACTGAAGAAATCACTCGGTTCTGATGACGAAAACAAGCGCTCTGATGACAATACCGAGAAGTGCCTCGCCCAATGTGTGCTTTACAAGGACCTTCGAAAAGCTATTGAAGAATGGGATGATGACAAAGCCCAAGTCTTGTTACATGCAGATATTTCTTTACCAACTCAAGAGAGCGGAAAAGGTTCGAAAAGTTTTGGTTTAAGAAAGTTTCTTGAGAATTCACTGCAAAATAACCGAAAACCCGACAGAGAAATCACTCTCGTAGAAGACGATGGGCTGTTACCATTCTTGGAGCATATTAACAGCGGATGGTTCAGCCCTCGTGAGGCAGCATTTCTTTGGTTGGAACAACATCTTAAGCCTAATCCCCACTATCAATTGCCATCGGCCCCGAAGAGCCGGTTGATGGGGAGTTCCACATATATGAACAGGCTTTGGTCAAAGGAGATGAAAGAAACCGTCATGCAAATCCTTACTGATGACGATGAATTTATTTATTTGAAGCTTAACAATTTCGCTATTGCTTGGGAACAAACTTTATTGGCATCCAGTTCAACAAGAACCATTCCCTCCTCCCAAATTTTTGTCTGTGCGGAGATTACGCAAAGCATTTACGAACTCCATCTTGATATATACGCAGCAATGAACAGTCTAGAGGGTAACACTGACCCTGACCGAAAGATCTTAGAGCTAGATCGGCTGAATAGATGGAGTACACTTGCCCGGACCTTTATCAATTATCATCTTGATGAACGTGAGGAGGATGATGCTCAAATTACGATTGCGCTTCGCCATATATGGGCGTTTACTTTCCAATTCAATTTGACAGAAGAGGTACCACGAGAATATGTCTTCCGTTGTCTCCAGGACTTGAGGCGGGTACTGGGCTTGATTGGAAGTCCATCGATACCAATACTGAACAATGCGACAATTTCTGAAATATCCATTTCCGCGATCGATCAGGAAATATCAAGGCTCAACTCAATGGATTTCTTTGCGGATATTTTTGGCTCCGGTTCCGACGATCCTGTTCATCTCATAGAAAGTATCGAACCCATACTAGACCCATCATCGGTGGGATTTATCCACGCATCGTTGGCCGCAAACGAACTCGAGGCTCCTGGGAGTAACTCCAAGGAACTCGTTAGTGCTACGTCACTGTCGGTTATCCGGGATATGATCTCAGTTTTGGACCGGGGCGATGCAAACTTAAGGCTTTTCCTCTGGTCAAAGCTTAAGAGGGCTTATGAGTCTATTCAATATTCTCCAAAAGTCGTTTCTTGCTACCTTCGGAGTATTGAAGTAGCCGTGGGGGAGCTTCAAAGGCCTACGTACTTGGAAGCATCCAGCGATCGTCGGCAACTTTCACTTTTGAAGTGGATCAAGACCATTGATGATTTGCTGAGTAAGGTGGTTGGAAAGGTGATAGACGAGCCCGAAATCTCATTCGAATGCTTTGATATGGCTCATTTAGAGTCTTCAATGTCTGCTGTGGCTAGGATATCTAGACTACTTCACTCTTTTGCTCTATTCGAAGACTCACTTCGTGTTGGTCAGATATCTCTTCCAGAGATACGTCCAGCATCAACTGCAAAGACTCTGGAACAGCTCAAGGAAAAACTTCGAGGAATGCAAATCAAGGCGTGGGTTTTGCAATATGCGTTACTCAGGGAAGGTATGGCACAAAATAAGGAGTTATTTGACTCGCCAAATGACGATCGTATCCACTACCTACGCTCCGTTCATAACGCTCTTGGAATCCGTTCGATATGCAAATGCTCTAACAAATTGCTGTTGAAGCTTATGAAGAAAGAGCTGTTGACTCTCTCAACTGAAGATAGCTACGAATTTGACGTTTCACAACTCCTATTCGACTTGTACGGACTAAAGTTTTTGAATATCGACGAAATCGCAGATCACGGATGCCCTATTCAGAGATTGGATCGTGCTACTGCTATAATGATGGTAGATTTTGTCATGACCCAAGCCAACAGAATGAATATCAAAGACGTACCCAAATCAGAACTGAAGCTGACGATAGACACCATGCAAATGGCTATTGGTTGGGCTACCAAGTTCTCCACCTCGTTAACTTTCAATAAACGCGTTTTATCTGCTTTCTTGAAATCACCGATTAACCCGTCAGACCTCTTTCGTGCAGTGCAAGGAATCGGAGAGGTATCAATGGTCCCCATTCAGACAGAGAGCCTTGAGCTTGCAGATAAGGGATGGTACTTTTTACTCGGTTCTATAGCGTTGTCGAAATTTCGATCGCAAAAAAGGATAACTTCAATTCCAACCGATGATTTAGATCTTGCAGCCTCATTTTTTAGACAAGAGCTGGAGCATGGTACAGGGAAATGGAAGACATGGTACCGCCTTGCTCAAGTATACGATCTCAAGCTCGAGGAGGATATGGCATGGTCTGCGGACAAACTCAACAACAATCGATCAGATCTGGCAACTTTGCAGCGGAGGTCGATCCACTGCTTCGCTATGGCGATTGCAGCTGCTATACGGACAGCAGATTTGTCACCTGAAACAAAAAAAGAAATATCTGACCTATATACCGAATTTGGATTCCGGATGTATGCATCAGCAACGGAACCCCTGTCCATGGAAGCTTTTAGTTTAACGGAGTTTACAAGGCACTATAGCAGTGGCGAAAACCAACAAATGTATAAGGCAAAGCCTTTCCAAGAAATGAAGCGATATACCGCATGGAACTTTGCAAGTTTCCTTTTCCGACGGGCAACAGTTGATCGGCCAAATTATTGGAAGTAAGTAGCCCAACTTTCCCTCAGTCTGGTCTGTACGGTATCAGACAGCTGATACAGATGAACCTGTAGGAACTATTACATGCTCGGCAAATGTCTCTGGAAAATGTTCAACTGCGACGATGCCATGAGGAGAAACAGTTCTCCAGTCGAAGTTGACGATATACTTGACTCATTGGTTGACGCTATCAAGGCCCTACCATCAAAGAAGGATAGCCGTTCAGACCCAATACTTGAACCTCACTTCAAGCTCGTGTCAATTGTTCACAAGCTTGTTCATAAGGGATTCTTAAAGGTTGGTTTGCACCCAGTAGCATATCTATGTTTGTGATATTCTAACTTTGTAAAAGCCTGAGAAGGCAAAGGAGCGGCTTCTTGCCATACCATATGCACGGAAAGTGACCTTGAACGACGGCGATTGGAAGAGTTATATCCTCGAGGTGTTGAAAAATCTCAAACACGCGGATAAATCAAACTGGCATCATCGTATAATTTTACGGGTCAGTTTAACCATCCTCCCTTACAGAGTCGCCCTGTTGCTTGTTCTGACAATAGCTAGGCCGCACACGTTATTTATGACGATTTAAAAGACGACGAATCAGCCATGGCGGCAAAAGCAGAAGTTTCGCAACAAATTTTTACCAAAACAATGACGCTCCAAGTCTGGAGGCCCGAAAACGAACGCGCAGGAAGACATTTCGTTTACACAACTCGATATGTTTACTTCTTTGTCGGCCTTTTAAACCAACTGAACGACCGAGCAAGCTTAGATAGCCTCATTCGGCGGGTGCGTAGAAAACCAAATGACTATGTCAACCACACTAAACTCTGGGAGGATATGTGCTTTACTTACATCAAGGTGAGCTACCTAATTGTCTATTTATCTTACCTCGAATTTATAAATGCTGACTTCCCTCTCAAGCTTTTCCGCCGCGTCGGCGAGATTCCCGAAGGCTACGAAGACACGGTTTTCAAACCAGTCAGTCACGATGATTTCGTCATATATTGTGCACGCCTAGAAGATTGGTGTCAGAACCATGCAGCGGAAACACCTCTTGTGGACCTGCTCAAGGATGCCGTCGAGCTAAAAAAACTAAATAACGGTCTCATGAAGCCTGTTATTTTCGAGGACCTGGTCGCAGACACCTACGCAGTTCTCTATCAGAGCAACATATCCAAGTTCATCGAGCAAGTAACCGAGGAAGAAAGCCGGGAACGCATGAAGGTAGACCATCTCCTTATGGCCAGCGATGGACCAGAGGGTTCTCGAACACCCGCCGGGCATTCCACTCCTGGGCAACCTGGCCCTAAGCCACGGTTCAAGGGAGTATCACGTAAGGAGCTGCAGCGCAAAGCTGAAGCAATCGCCACCAGAGCTTTAGCCACAAAACCAACACCGAAACCTGTAGTGCGCCCAATTGACGAAGAACTCCCGGCCACCAGGCCATCAGTAGCCATTGAGGTTGCGATGCCTTTAATCACCATCAAAAATTCTATTAGAGAAGAAGCTTCAGGTGCCCAGAGCAGTGTTCCGGGTAGTGTGCATGACAGTGCCGACGACGAAAGTGAACTTAGCGAAATCGATGAAGAGAAGGTGTCAGAACTGGCCGAGGTATCGACGTTGGTAGAAACAACGATGCCAAAATCGTCCACGGAACCTATATTTCCAAACCATCTAGTAAAGAGAATCATGTCTCCGAAACCTGGATCACCTGGCCCGTCGACAAATGTCAGCATCACTGATGGTGCGGAGGTGGAGTCGGCTCCCACTGTTTCGGTACAGGATACGAAATCTGAACCTACAGAGGCTAGGCAGTCAGATGTGGATATGGAGGGAAATGCTTGATCAATTATTTTTCGGGCGTATTGTCAGTTACATATCGGCATTTTTTAACGTTTCTTTGCCCTCTGCAGTTTAGCAGACTTTTTTGCATCTCTGCATTTCTATTTCCATTTCCATTTCCATTATTTTGTATGAACTGCTTTATTAGTACTGGGATGGTTTCTGGTTCATTCCAAGCAGATAGACGGATATCAGGTCAGGTATGGCGAATATTTCAACTGGCGTTGAAATGGGATTGGTTTTCTTGCGGTGATATAAAGCTCGATGCGCACCTCTATTTTATTTTATTTTTATTTTTTTTTTAATACAGCTGGTTATATCATCCCTGCATACTTCATTGAAACGTGATATCTTTCCTCGTTTGTTCAAGTGAAGTTAGCTTAGGTCCTGTTACACTCCAACTCTAAAAAAGAAACTAACTATCCACTTTTTCAAAACACGAAGGGACATCAAGGGTAATGGGACGCATCAGTAATGCATGATATACGCAGGTAGTCGTCCTCTCAAGAATGAGAGATCGCTTCATGCTATAGCACTCGATGAAAAAAATCATAATACTCTCTCAGGCAATAAATTCTCAGATCCAAGTAACATGAGATGAAGAATTATCCAGTCCATTCCACAATCATCTCTCCAGAAAAAAGAAGAAAAAAGAAAAAAAAAGGAAGAGCATTCAAGGGTATCGCCAGAATATACAGAATAGTAGTTGATTACTCTAATTCATCCAAAACACTCTCCGGATTAAAATCTCGTTGCCGTGTCGTCATAATACGATGTCTCTTGGCCGCTGCCATTCTTTTCGCCGTAGATGATCCTGGGCTTGGGTTTGCTTCTGAGTCCAGCTTCAGAGACTGGAATTTCATGAGAGAGTTTTCGATATCACTCTCACAGCTAGCATAGCTGTAATTGAGTGAGTCTAGTCGCGGATTCGCTACGTTTTTCTTGAACTTTGTTGACTTCCTGCTCTGGGAACGAGAATGCAATTCGCGCTCTAAGTTGGCGATTCTCATTCGGAGTTTATTGTTTCCTTGCTCCAATTCAGCGATTCGATCTTCCGAAGGTGTTTGCAAGTCTTCGTGGACTATGTGAAATTAAAAATTAGCTTATGATACGACGTCGCAATGGTAATTAAGAACAACTTACTCCTAACTCCCTTAGACAGCAAGTCCAGCTTCTTATCCAAGTGCTCATCATGGCGTGACGCCTGGATGGGAAGTTAGCTTGTAAATATCAAATACTTATAGTGAATATTGAGAGGAGTATTTACCTGTTCGTCCCATGCCGCTTGCCATCGTCGTCGCTCTTCTTCAACTCGCTCCTCCATCTCCTGCCAGCACTCCTCTCGTACATCTTGTTCGATCAGCATGCATCTTTCTTCTGCTGCTCTCCACTGGAACTCAGCTTCCGCTCTGGCAATTTCTTCCTCCGCCAGTTTGATGGCCAGTGCGTCATAATCATCACTGATTCTTGCAATTTCCAAAGCCGCGGTCTCAAGTTCCTCAGCGGATGCAGAATAAAGACTCCATTTCGTTTTATGAGAATAGGTTGGACTATTCCTTCCGCTCGCCGTGCCAGCCAATATCGTTCTAGTGACGGAGGGTATGCGTGGCACAGTCACTTCTCGGGCTAATGCAGAGTATCGTAAAATTTGAGATGTCGCGTTGAAGTCCCCATGGGCGTCCGCCGTAACGATCATGAGGGCCCTTTGTGGGTGTCTAGGATAGGAAGCCCCATGATTGGGCGAAGGGAACGAGTTGGAGAATAAGAGCTCCGTGAGTTTGCATTGTCTGTAGGGAACAAGCGCCTTCTGACAAGGTAATTAGACGATTTATGTGAATGGATGCTGGGAGAGAAGAAACATACCTTACTTCCGTCCTGCAGATCACTCTGTGTTTGTAAACATTGACCTAAATACATCAAACTCTCGTTAATTTTTCCCGCTTCTGCAAGTGTTGCGCCTGCTGTCTTCGCATTTCTGGCACGCTCGGATCCTACCCATGCGTATTCATATCAGAATATGTTACTTCAAAATATGGGAACAGCATAGATCGTACCAGCAAGGTCAACAACAGTCAAGGTATTTCCAACCCATGATTCTTCGCCAAACCTCCTATCTCTGACCCTTCTCTTCACCTCCACGCAGAAGAACCCGTGGCTTCGAGAGCTGACGCTATTGCTCCCAGTCTCAGTTACTTTTCTTTCCAACAAGCCCGTCTCTAAGACCATTAGGGCATCTTCATAAGTACCGCAAACAATTTTTCTCAAACCAGCAACGACCTTGCGATCTTGTGAACCTTCCGTAGGCTTAAATAGGAGATGACGCCTCCTTTCCTTCTGGTTCATAGCCGGTCGGGGACTCATTGCTACATTCGAAGGGGCCAAGAGGTCAAAAATTCGATCATTGTAAACTTCGTACATTGATACCAATACTACAGTCGCCTCTTCATTCGGGTTTGGAATCACAAGGTCGCTCACGTCGGGTAATTGAGGTAGCGCGCTAGGCCGATGAGGTAGATGACGTCGAGGGAAATTGAGAGTGGACATCGAATCCTTTTTATTTCGAAGAGTAATATTAGCTACGGGTTTCGACATTCTATGGCAGTTCCAAAAGGGTAATTGTGAAGGAAAAGGGGGTTTCTTTGGAGACATGAACACATTTCCACAAGCCCCAATCGACTCTATGGAAGAAAGGAGTCGAATAGTCGGGGTGCATGAGGCCTGTATAGAAGTACAATTTGGATTGTTTTGGGACAATTCTTCTGAGAAAAAACCAGACGAGAAAGAGTTCCACCGGCAAGGAGATAAAGGGAAGTTAAAAGGGCTCCGTACCGTCATTGGGGTTTGACATCTAGACATGGTGGACATCGGAGTTTGGGCCCGTGAACCTCGACCACGTTCGTTCCATGGATCACTGTAAATTGTTTCTATGAAAGATCTCGCAGAGAAAATCTGTGCTTCCGATACATCTGAAGCTGCAACGGACGGCAACAACATGGGATTGGTTGTGATATCAGGATTCTGAATCGTTGACGAAATGGACCGAAAGAGGACATCGAGGGACATCTGTGTTATTCCACGCTGTGACTTCGACCCGAGGATGGTGTGTGTCTGAGAAGATGATAGTGGCCCAGTTAATTTGTGCACCTCTTCTATTCAGGTAATCTCAAAGAGATATCAAACCTTTCCGCTCCCAGTGACTCCCAAGGTAGCAACGAGGCCATCTCTGCCTTCACATAGGACACCTTTTATCAACTTAGTCATTCCAACTTCCTCGAAGAGCTCAAGTTGAGAAGCATTATCTTCAAAAACTTTCGTAAACCCGAACTTTTCTACTGCTCGTTTTCTCAGTTCGTTTGGCGGTTGCAGTGTGATATGGGTGGGCCAAACACGGCTTTGGTTTCCATCATCTCCTGTTGATGGGGCCTCCGGACGTTCAACTGTAAGGTAGCTCTGTTTTGACGCTTGAGATGTTCCTTTCTGGTTCATCGGCGGCCGGAGTCTCAGAAAGACCTGGAAGAGCGATGTTTGCCCCGGCTTCGGTGGAGGTTCCATGGTCCTTGTATTAGTTTTATTATTATTTCAAGCAAAAGGAACTTTGAGAATGGAAATTCAATCGGGAGCGCAAAAATCTGACAGCGTGAGTTGTTGCTGGCTGGGATAAATGAGGTTGTTGTTTATTCATACGAAGTCCGGTGCTTGTCCCATTAGTTGTATATCGTTTTCTTTTTTCTGTGTACATAACTCAAAGAAATCGCCGATAAGCCGTTGCCCGGGCAACTATCGCAACACCAAGACCTTTCCACCAAACCATGTTTTAGCGTCAACCACGAAGAAACAGAGGATCAAAGACGGTACAACGGTTGTCCATTGAAGCTTGTGAACAAAGTTGAAGTAGAGACGCACAATAAATTGAATTGACAGTGTTGTGGTGGTCGTGGTCGCTGTTCTATAAGAACAGGCGCAGCTCCAAACTACAGTCAGTAGTTACATAGTTACATAGTTAGAGACGCCGGGCTTTGTCATCTAAGGAGTGAATGATGTTTGCTTTCTGTTTTGAAGTTGAGATATGGACATAAAAGATATAAGTTTAAAACTTTAGTTTTGGGATCCCTTGTCAAATGGCAGAAAAATTAGTATGTAAGTCGGATTATCAGATATTTGTGGCATCACACACAATGGCATATATTATAGCAGAGTTAAGTGAGTGCTTTTGAAAAGAAATAAGACTTCTGGTTTCTCTCGTGGAGACAGCAGGCTCTTCGACTCCAATCAAAAATCACATTTGTAATAGCACCAAGGAGAATGAAGATTTAGGGGGAAAAAGAAAGAAAAAAAATTAAAGTGTTATCAAGCAACAATATTGAAAATAATTTTGTTACCACAAAAAGGGATCTATTTCGCCAGACGTGCATAGCAAGCCAGATAAATCACTGCTTCATACGGAGGATAGTGAATGGCACCATTCAAGGTCTTAGGGAAATAAAACTAATCCATGTTAAACTCGCAACAAATAGGTGATCAAACAGGTGAAGAGGTTATCAAGCAACGTATAACAAAACACCGGCGAACACATTCTGTAAATAACATCCACAAGCAACCGATGGCGCCAAAAGGTGGTCGACAGTCTAGAGATTGGGAACACTATGGGCAAGTCAATAACCCTGGAAGGGTCCGTTCGAGCAAATGGAGGAAAATCTACCAGCCTGAGAACTTCGAGCGAGGTTCATCTCCAAAAGATACTTGACAGCAAAACAAGTGCAGTCCATGTAGCAAGGAGGAAAGTCCGCAAATACCGTAGATTATTGATATTCAGTCGCCCTTCCGTTTGGAAGGTTTCTTGTGATTTGTCGGTGCATCTACCTTGTCATCCTTCGCTGGCACAGACTTACGGTTCGCAGATTTTTTCACTTCTGCAGGCTTAGACGACTTGGCTTTCTTCTTCCGTTCTTCGGCAGCCTTTTCCTTCGGACTGGTGGGTGGTCCATTTTCGGCATCATCTGCGCCAGCACCGTTTCCAGAACCCTGGCGTTTGGAAGGCTTTATTGTCTTTGATTTCTTTGAGACGGGCTCAGCTTCTTCGCCCGACTCCTCAGCTGCTCTCTTGCTTCTGGAGCGTTTGTCCTTCCGAGGAGATTCATCCTTTGCGCAACAGATATCAGCATGACTATCTGGCTGGAGCTTAATCGGGATGCACTTACGTTGGCACCTGTTTTGTTCTTGAGCATTCGAACTCTAAATCCTGTTTTACCTGGGCGGTTTACTTCTACGTCCTGAGGAAAAATGAAATATCAGTGGTCTATTTTACCAAGGAGTTGAGGACCAAAGTGAATCACTTACCCCTCTCCAGTCCGAATCAGCAACATGCCCTTCCTCGACAGCATCACGGACTTTCTCTTGATTCTCTGTGGAGATCTCATCATAGCCATCAAGGAGAGTATAATCTTTTTCATCACCCACGACTTCCTGCATGTTGGCTATCTGCTTCGGAGTAACACAGCCCCTGAAGGTCAAGTGGGAGTCAGAAAAATCATGTGCCAATAGCTATAGGAAGATTACCAGTGCTTCCAGCTCCAGCTCTGGAAATTATCGGTGTCAACCCATGTGCCAAGACGTAGCTCTCCTTTGAGGATTTTCTCCTTTTTGTCCTGGCATTCCTTGTTCTTGCAGCCGGCCCTTCCCGTGCTGGCTTCCTCTAGAGCAGAGGGAATATAGTACGTTAGCCACACACGTACGTAATTTTAGAAGTTCCATATTGCAAATAAAACAAAACAATAATAAATGAAAATACGGTGGAAATAAAAGGACATACCGATCCGATATGTTGGCATTGGTCGACGTTGGAAGTTAACGCGTTAAGCGACAGGGTTCCTCGAAAGCAGCAACGGGTTTAGGAAGCAAGCTTGGAGTGACCTCACTGCAAATGAATTATTTGACGATATTATTCCTCCGTACATTCCGTTTGGCTTTCAATCAGTTTGACGACTTTGATGTTGATGTCGATGTTGACGCTTGGGTCGGACTTCAAACTTAACATGAATGACGATATAACCGGAGTTGGTTGTCATTCAATCCTTGGAAACGTCGCGGCGCTACGGCTCCCCCCACATTCCGGACAACCCAACCCAAAAAGAACTTAAAATTCCTACGAAAACTGGAAAGCAAATAAACGGTTGTGGAACAATAACTCCTATTGAAGGCAAGGGACATCCGATTTACACTTGTTTAGAAAGTCATCCAGCTCAAGTCTTCCAAATGGACGGATGGGAGTGGGATCCACGTGATTTTAACCGCTGCAGCTGGAGCTCGAACTCCTCTAGTTAACTACATAATTAGCCAATCAAAGCAACCTTCAACCTCAATCCACTCCTCCAGGGATTGGCATGCTGGATCGCCGATATCTCTACGGAGTAGAGTGAAATGAATGGGTTTGCAGAATTACCTGTGGGTTATTAGATCGGCAGTATCCTTATTGTGACTTACTTCAATCTCTCAGACCCGGTGAAATATGCATTATCAATGATGAAAAGCGCCCGGATAGTCTTGGGAAGCCAATGCGTTTGAAGGCTTGATACTTTTAACCCAATGGTCAAAAGTCCCACAACAATCACATTAATTCAGCACTTCCGGGCTCGTGTCGTGAGATAAGCGGAGTCCAAGCTAGGGATACACGGAGATATATCTACGAAGTACTCCGTATACTTCCTACAGTTAGCCTGGGGAACAATTGAATTTTTGTGGGCCACTGCATCTAATGTTCAGGTAGGAATGGCATCACACTTCCTCACAGTAGGTATCTGTTCCTGCGATTCCAGATGTTAATCCAGGTAACTTTGCCAACTGGAATCGGTTGCGCTATGGCGACATTGGTCTGGCATGTCCTCCGGCTCTGCGGGGAACCCGGGTCGCCCGAAGAAAGGATAACACTCGACCACGGAGCTAAAAGTAGTGATGGTCGACAGGCGAGCACAGCAGCCCTTGTCATTTTCATGTGTTACGGGGCGCATCACCTATTACTTCTTCAGCCCATCTTCAGTTCAACTATTTAACGAAGAATACAAAAGTCAACCGTCTCCGCCGCTAAACCCTCAATTAGCCGAGGTTGAGAACCCCAAGAACCCCAAGTCCAAGCCCATGAACATTTAAGCATAAAGCATGTGTGGTTCGCCAGTGCATGTTGTTGTTGCCATAATAATTGTTTGAACAAACTCATACTGATTCCGGCCTCTCCTATCAAAACGAACAGGATAATTTACCTACTCGAACAAAATGGCGTATCCAATCATTGACGCTTGGGCCAATCCGGCTTTTCCAATCGAGGTGAGCGCATTCTCTATGTATTTATCAAGCACAAACTATCCTATTTCATTGACGAATTTACATCCAAGAAGCCGCCCGGTTTCTATTTACCATTTCAAACTCTTCATCCGCAAGAATCAATCGCTGAAAGAAACCTTTAGGAAGACATGCCTGAGGTGCAACGCCTCTTCGAACAGTCTGGTGCCGATAAGGAACTGCTTGAAAAGCGGCGGACACCAGATGAGCTTGTTGCATTGATGGATGCTGCTGGGGTCAGCCAGATATGCATTTGTGCATGGTACCGGCCCGGCCACGCTGTCTTTTCCAACGCTGAAGTTGCCGCGTTTACTCGTGCTTATCCGGATCGTTTCATTGGCATCGCGGGAGTAGATCTTCTTGATCCAGTCTGCGCGGTTAAAGAGCTTGACCACTACGTGAAAAAGGAAGGGTTTAAGGGCTTGCGCGTGGTCCCTTGGCTCTGGGCGTTGCCACCTACTGATGCACATTAGTACGGCCTTCTCAGTTTGCGACCTTTTTGGCAGTTGTAGAATGCCTGGCAGCTAACTAATAGGTGTTCCTGGTTATAGCTGGCCGCTGTATGTCAAGTGTGTTGAGCTTGACATCCCCTTTGTGAGATCACCCCGTATCGTTGACACCCGCGAAGATACAAGCATGCTTATCCAGCGTTATAGCATACGCAAGTCGGGCACACTGGTCCCCTATGCCCCAGCGAAGTTGGACGACCAATTCCAGTAAAACCACCTCACCATAGTTCCTCATCACGCAGAGCCATCATTGACAGAAACCGTTCAGTATATTGACGAAATCGCGCTGAAATTCCCCACGTTGTCCATAATTTGTGGGCATATTGGCTACCCATGGACGGCGGAGATGATTAGCGTAGCTTGGAAACATCCAAACGTTTATATTGACACCTCTGCACATTTGCCCGCATACTATCCTAAGGTAATAGTTATTCCCGTCTCACCCAAATATCTTCCAGTTCCGCTAACATACCTGTCGTGACTTGGCTAACAGGAATTGATCCAATTCGCAAATACCACTGGGCGGAAGAAAGTTATGTTCGGAACTAATTTCCCTCAGCTTAGCTGGAAGCAGTGTGTTGAGTCTGCCCATAAAGACCTCAAACTCCGGGAGGAGGCTAAAGCGGACTTCTTCGGTGGAAACGCAGCGAGAGTGCTGAAATTGGGGCAGGGAATGAACGCGACAAAAGGAAAACTTTAAGTTACTCTTATATGAAGGACCACAGCCAATTCTTCAACTCCAGAGTGCTTTGAACGTTCTAATAGCTATCTCTAACATCAATGTTCTGGTATGGTATTGGAAGTCAAACAAAAGATGACGCTCTGGGCTATCAAAAGACAAACTTAAACGGGCATAAAACGAACAAGAGGAAAATATATTTCTTAATGAGATATATATTGAAAGGCTTTTTATATATGGATATGGAGAATGAGTGTAGTTCCAACCTTCATTTCGTTTTTGAGGAAGAAAAGGAGAGGCGGCAGTTGGAAGCAGGAATACAGCCCTAAACTCGATTGGGATAATGCAAACTTTAAATTCTTCAGATCTCGTTCACCGAATTTCGCGATCCAATAAATCTCTCTCCTCTCTCCTCTGCAACAACTTATTACCTCTACCGCCTATACACAAATAACCAAAACATCCTAAAAGACTTCCATTTATTGATTCTCGCGTCTCAGAACTGTTCCCAAGTTTCTAGTTCCCAGAGCCTTCCCGGCGCAGCGGGATACCCGCCCATATCTCGCCTTCCCAGTGCCACTCCTACTTGTTACAGAGCTTTCACCATGTCCGAACCAATCCCAGAATCCATCCCTACCAGTCAAGACCCACGAAGCAAGCGGCCGCTAAAGAAACGTGCCCTGACCCCCGTCTCCGAACAAGCCACCCTAATCCAAACCCTCTTCAAAGACCCCACGAAAGAAGTCCACATCCCCGCCCCATCCAAACCCCGCACAAGCGCTACTCTACCACCTCCGCCAGAAATCGTCGCTAATGTCCAAGGCTCCTCGGCCGGCGCGGGCTCGGGCGAGTTTCACGTCTACAAAGCTAGTCGGAGAAGGGAGTACGAGCGCCTAAGGCTCATGGAGATTGAGTTGAAGAAGGAGCAGGCGGATGAGATGTTTGAGCGGAGGAGGGAGGAGGCTAGGCGGAAAGATGAGGAGAAGACGGAGAAGAATCGGAGAAAGAGGGAAAAGAAGAAGAAGAAGGCTAAGGAGAAGGCGGGGGCTTCGGGCGCTGCTGGGGATGTTAAAATGGGGGATGTGGAGAGGACAAACAGTGAGGATGGGAATATGGTACCCGTGGTGGAAGTGGCCGCAGATGGAAATAGAGAAGAATTAGGTGTCATAATTCATGATGAGGATTGATTAATATTGGGATACGGTTGTTCGGTCTTGGATATTGAGTTTTGTGAATTCTACTTCGCTACGAGTACGACGGATGGGGGATCACAAGATTAACAAGATAGTGGCTGCTGACTGCGACACAGATCACGTGATGAGAGGGTCCGACAGATACCCATTGACTGCATTTATATTTATTTAATTAATTTCTTTGGTGGTTATTCGTACAGGTCTAGATGCTGTAGAACAAGGTAGGTGACAGGGGAAGTGATTCGAACAAAATCATTATTCCTCACCGCCGCCAACATTCGCTGATTGCTTCATGGTTTTCGCACTGCAAATATCATCGACTCGGAGCAACATACAAGCAGACTGTAGAGAAAGAACGTTAGATAAGAGGAATTGAAAATATATATGTCTGTGGACAACTTACTTCAACTGCAGTTTTGATGCTCTGCAATTTAACGGCTTCAGGCTCCCACACGCCATATTCTTTCATGTCAACAACTTCTCCAGTGTCGCCGTTAACACCATATGTGCTGTTGCCCTCCACATGCTTGGATCTGAGGTTAGTCAGGACACGGATGGGACTGGCGCCTGCATTTTGGATTAGTGTTCTGGGGATAACCTCCATCGCATCAGCGATAGCCTTGTAAGGCCACTGTTGAATGCCCTCAACGGACTTGGCCATTTGTGATAGCTTCACAGAAACTGCCATCTCAGTCGCTCCACCGCCAGGCGAGAGACGGGGATCAAAAATGACGTTCCTCGCGACAGACATGGCATCCTGTAAATTGCGCTCGATCTCATTCAGGATATCCTTTGATGGTCCTCTCAAAAGAATAGTGCAGGCCTTAGGGTTAGAGCATTTCCGGAGGAATGTGAAGTACTCGTCGCCGATTTTCTCAATCTCAAAAAGACCGCATCGAGTTCCAACGTCTGATTCTTGGAGATCATCCACTCGGTTAACGATGGTTGCACCCGTTGCGCGGGAAATTCTGTTGTTGTCTGTCTTGCGGACACGTCGCAAAGCAGTAACATTCTGTTTCACGAGGTAGTGTTGGGCCAAATCTATAATTTTGTTAGGCCTTGTGGTTTACTTAATGATCAGCCGGTTCACTTACCAGATACACCCTTCTCAGTAATAACAAGGTCAGGTTTTAAAGCAAGGATCGCATCACACATGTGTTTAACTTGCTCTTCCTCTATCTGCAATATCCGGTTCCAATCATCTTCTTTCGAAACTTCGATGTTTGTCTGGGACTCTCCCTTTTTATACTCGAGAGGGCAATCGAGGAGGATGATTCGTGGGTTCTCTATTCTCCGTCGCATTTTTGGATGAGTGATATCCTTGTTGAGCATAACTCCGTCAATGACCTCGCTATCCTCAATCTCTCCGCCTGGTACCTTTTCTACACGAGCATAGCGCTTGATATCGACCTCCTTCTTTCCACCGCCCGCATCATAGGAAACAGTTCTTACGGCCTTCAATGCCAGATTGCACATGAGTTCTGACCACCGCGAAACAAACTTTGTGCCAATGGAAGAGTGAATTAACTTATACATGGCTTTGTCATCATTAATATCAACTGGTAGTGATATATCCTCTACTATGGCAAGTGCGTCCGAAAGAGCGCGTTTGAAAGCGGAGATGATGACGACAGGATGTATATTTCGTTCGAGTTGAGGGAGCGCCTGGGCCAGAATTTCGCCAGCTGGTTTTCGTCAGCAGGAGCAGAACCATAAAAGTTTCATGTAGATATAAGTACCTAGAATTATGACAGTTGTAGTACCATCACCCACTTCCTCATCTTGTGTTCGGCTGAGTTCGATCATACTCTTAGCTGCGGGGTGAGCTACCTCAATCTCGCGGAGGATGGCATGTCCGTCGTTGGTGAGAACGATACCGCCCATAGGGTCTAGAAGCATCTTCAACATAGCTTTAGGCCCCAGGCATGATCGGATAATATCTGCCACACTGCAATGCTTCGTAAGACAGATGTTCCAATTGTGGGGCGGGATATACCCGAGGGGTGAGGTTCATAAGACCTACGTCTTTGCTGCTGTGATGTTGGACAACTGCGCTTTCCGGCCAACTTGTCTACTCCCACTCTGGGTGTCTACAGTTCGTATGTGAGCGGCCTTGATTTCATAATCTCATTCTATTATAAAGAGTGTTAGGCTAAACATACTCATCACCACAACAGGAGCCTGCATTTTGGCGAGAATCTAGATGTCTCTCAGCGGGCGCGGGAGGACAAATTCACCGATGGGAGAACAGGCGGCAAACGAATTCCACGAAAGAACAAACTATATTCGAATAGAAAAGTATGAAAACACCGTGAAGTAAAACCGGGGTGCTTGAAGACAGTTGCAGGATGGAAGCTCCTTTGGCGTCCCTTGGTTGTTGTCAATATTTTTTTCTCTACGTGGGAGAGACCTGGCATATTCAACCCTAAACTGAATATGGACTAGTGTGATAAGCTCCCGTGAAACGCTTTGAACTTCCAACTTGAATGTTCCCTATTTCCAACCTTGTTCCTTCAACATCAGAAACTTGCAACATGATATGAAAAATATCCAAGGGGCCAATTCTTGACATTTTATGTCTATCCTTATCCATTGTTTATCATGGCCTTTTCGCTTCATCGCCCATGCGGCAGAACGGGGGATTGGGATCCATATTTGACTCCTGCTAAGTCAAGCGTTAACACTCGTTATGAGCTTCCACAAGGCGTCAGCACCAGAGACATTTTCTTGCAATTCTCAAAGAATGGAACATCGCGTTGTTGCGGTCCATTTGGGGAATAACCGCCCTCTGAGGCTCTGGTCGTCAGGTGCTTGAACAAGCTTTACCGTTTCGAGGGGCATGAACAACACGAGATTCCTCTATGGCGTATCGGTTGCGAAAGATATATGGGCAACACAAAGGAGGTTTCCTAGTTATTACCGTCATTATATATACATGAATATTATCGACTTATATGATCAACATTCAGTAGAATCACAATCACCATAATCCTTTCATGGTTTCTGGATAATACAAGTATAGGCCGTCGGCATGTAAATGCTCCCAACTCTGTGTTGTGTCAGGGAATCATATTCGTAGATACCTCCTTTATTATAGCACGCCAATCCCAAAAGAAAGGGAAATTAGGATGTAAATAGTTGATGCCGGGGTACTGTCTAATAGAGCTTAGAAGTCACAACGGAGGTGACAATGAGTATTTAATACCTGCAGATAAAATAAGGCCCTACGATTTTAAACTACCAACCTAGACATTGCCCAATGGTTATTTGTTTTTCGTAGATTTATTTACCTACCTAGGTGGGAGGATGAGTATCCAAAGTTTGACGATTATAGATCCACAAAACAAGGTTCAATACCCGACATGAAAAACCCGAATTCACAGTTTGAAGGAAAATATGACTTTAATTCCTCTCGCCATTGGATAGCAGATACGTGAATGATGGTGCAATAAGAAAATTGCAATGAACAGAAGACTTCATACCGTGCAAGCCGTTTCAGCATATCTTCTACATTAGTAATTCCCTCCGATGCTGAAAAACAGTACTTAGTCTTTCCAAAAGAATCAAATCCAAGCTGGGATTCCGACAGTAACATGCATGCCTTGATCCCACTCCTAACAGCTTGGGTGCACACCACCTTCAAATAGTAGTGATTGAACGGGAACAGTGTGGTGCTGTGTCAAGGGACTTCCTCTCACCGCTTAACCATGATTAACGTAAATGCAGCACACAGAAGAGAAGAATCTGTGTATGACGATGCATTGTAGAACTCACCTAAACTTACATTAGCGATGTCCAAACTTAGATCATGAGCCACGGTGTAACCAGGGGAGCTCACGACGGCAGTCGAGGTTGCTCTGCATCACCTGTAGAAGTTTCTGAAACCTCAGTTCTCGACATGATGGTTCTTTCACGTCGACGTCTGCAGGAACCCTAAGGGATTTTGCACATATCGGCCACATGGAATCTTGCACTAGGAGACGCAGGCATACTTTTCTCTTTTATTTTTTCTCTGCATTTTGAACGAGGTGTTTTGAAAGGGTGGTAAAGTATGAAATCTCATGAAGCAAAGACAGGAAATACTTTCCGGTATCATTTATCATGAACTTTGGCTTGAAGGGGTTCATGGGTAACAAATATATACTTCAGACTAGCTTCGGCATGTGCAAAACGATGATACCCAGATGCAGTCCAAAGAGATCCCTCTCCCTCACCATACACAGCATCCAACTCAACGCAATCAGATACGTCCACAAGTTAGATGCTGATGGAAGCGTGGTTTTCATTCCAAACCTGGGAGACGTTCCAAATTGGCTCAAAATGCACTAGCAGAATTTGGACTAGTGTAAAATAAAGTTTGAGCTGTAAATTCCTTTGAACACACTGGAATTTTTTAAACGGGGCATAAGCTTCATATCAAAATCCCATAATGTCTCGAACATATGTCGGGAAAAGATGCTGATCGTGATAGTTTCACGGGAATGGAAGCTAATGGGCCGGCGCTGGCCCAACCGACAGACCACAGTGACGTGATCGTCCCGGCGAATGCTCAGAGGCAGCTTCTTCAACTCAACTCGACAGAAGGATTCTTTGCGCAGCTCACGAGCAATCCATTTTTCACAGCAGTATGTTATATACCAGTGAATGGGCTTGAAACAATCTCCTTTTTCACATGCTAATATGGGGGTGCGGAATTGACAGGGCTTTGGTCTTGCGGGCCTTGGGGCTGGACTTACTCTTGCCCAGCGCGGTATTCGACATGGCGCCGTTCTTCTCCGCAAGCGCATGCTAGTTGAGGTGGAAATAAATATCAAGGACGACTCTTATGCGTGGTTTCTGCATTGGATGACCCTATACCAACGGAGGCAGCTTCACGGGGCACAGAACACAACCAAATCGGGTGTCGTTGACTCCATCCTGCGGAGACTGACTCCGGGAATGCGACAGTTGTCGATTCAGACGCAGAAAGTGGAACATCCCAATGGTGCGATACATACACAATTTGCGCTGATACCTGGACCGGGAAAGCATGTGCTCCGGTATAAAACTGCCTTCATCTTTGTCAATCGAGTTCGAGAGGCCAAATCAAGAGATCACCAGACCGGCCGTCCTTGGGAAACGGTTACCTTGACTACCCTGTATTCACAGAGACATATTTTTGAGGACCTATTTAAGGAGGCACACGAGTATGCTGCAAGGTCACAGGAAGGCAGAACCGTCATTTACAATTCTTGGGGGACTGAATGGAGACAATTTGGCCAATCTCGCCGCAAAAGACCGCTGGAATCTGTTATTTTGGACAAGGGAGTTAAAGAACGGATCGTTGCTGACGTGAAGGATTTCCTTGAGAGCGAATCCTGGTACTATGATCGTGGAATCCCCTACCGGCGGGGTTATCTTCTGCATGGGCCACCAGGCAGCGGCAAGAGCTCCTTCATTCAAGCCCTCGCTGGCGAGCTGGATTACGACATAGCCATCCTTAACCTGAGCGAGAGAGGTTTAACCGACGATCGCCTGAATCATCTACTCACCATCATCCCCCCCCGCGCTCTTGTCTTATTGGAGGATGTAGATGCTGCCTTTGGGAACCGGCGCGTGCAGTCTGATGCTGATGGATACCGGGGAGCCAATGTAACCTTCTCGGGACTCCTTAATGCACTTGACGGTGTGGCTAGCGCTGAAGAACGGATAATTTTCCTGACGACAAACCACGTTGAGAGGCTTGACGAGGCGCTTGTCCGACCCGGTCGTGTTGACATGACCGTTAGGCTTGGCGAAGCTACGAGATATCAGGTAGCAAAGCTTTGGGAACGGTTTTACGGCGATTTTGACGAGTCAGGTGTCTATCAGGCTAAATTTTTGGACAAGCTATATAACTTGGGTATTGTCGAGGATGAAAACAACCACAGGCTTGCTCCTAAGAAAGTCACCAGTGCTGCAGCTCTACAGGGACTCTTCCTATACAACAAGAGTGACATGGAGGGTGCTATAAGGATGGCGGATGAACTTGTGTCTGAGGAATAGATTTGACCCAGGATAGCGGGGAACACATTTGTACTATACACCAATTTATTAATTCACAACCCTCCGCGATTTAACCAGCGTTCAGCCGATTAGTTCAACAATTGTAACAAAATCCAAAAGGAAATCAAGCTGTGACATTCTCCACTTTTTTCTACTTTTACCTCTCTTTGAAAACCGACCAAATCATCCACACAAATCCCAAGGCTTATTCAATAACTAGCTTTTCAACTATATCTCAGTGCATAATTGCCTTGCAGGAATGTGATGAGCGTGCAGGTCGCAATGGCATACCCTGATACTTGGGTTCTTCTCGCAGGATACATCACGTGATAGCTATATTCCTCAGGTAACCAACCAGCTTCAGCAGCTCTCAGTTCAACCCTTGCTTTGATGCATGCCTCCTCAATCATCCAATCGCAACAATGTTACTTGCGCCGTCTTTCCTTAGCGAATCACACTACGTTGTATTCAGGACATGACAAGACAAAGATCGACTAACTCATTCAGCCGGTACCAAATGCTCGCTTCAGTGGTTCTCGAGTTTCACTGTTCAAGCTTCAAAGCGCCGAGAGAGTAATGTGCTTGCCACAATGGCTCCAATCAGCTTGCCTTCAACATTAACTGCAAATAATTCCCCCCCTCATCTCTCCCATGAGGTGCCGCGGGAGCCATGTTGACCTCCAATTGGTGTTGTTGAACGACGCCCGGTGGCCCCAGTCTCACCGATTCTTTCCTGAGGCTGTCTCCTCGATCTGCATGCACAGATGCCGGAATTACCACCGTGAAAAAGGTATGCTGGCTGGCTTTATGTGAGTGATTGAATTTAGCATCCAATCCCGTCGTATGGGAAGCTCCAGCCCTGGTTGCTGTCACAGAAAACACGGCTGCTTGTCTATTGGCGGATCTCTTGCCACCCGTGCCTTTTCATTCCTGGAGCAGGCGTCAAACTATTGCCTAGCGAAAAGTATGCATAATGTGTATTGATCTTCGATTCTATTGATCAGCCTCTTTTTGCGGAGGACTGCTCCCTTGCCTTGAAAAATAGATGGTCACCTCAGGATGAATTTTCTCCTTCTCTCGTTTTCTTCTTCGATTTCTCCCTCAGTTTCTATGTTTTCTCTCCTTAACGTGTGCTTCCCCAAACTCAGATCATTGCTTATTGTTACGCTTTCTGACGTATGAACCTGATCTGAACCCTGGGGATCCCTCCTTTCCAAGATTCCCTTCAAGATAAGGCTGCCTTCGTCTTAAGAGCCCCACAAAGCCTACGGAGTACATAGTTTTCTACGACCAGTTCGTAAGGCAATTGCGGTAAACCTTGTTCATTTCTTGAAATCGAGGATAGAAATGGCGAGTCAAACCCAGTTTCAGCTATTTCCTCAAGTGCAACCGCAAAACAGGCCCAATGGCAATCCGTTCAGAAAGGGCCATCGCCGACGAGCTACGAAGTCCCCAGTTGTCTCTCCGGTCGTCCCACCCATCTTAGACGTTGACAAAACATCTGCTCAAACGGAGGCAGTCATCCTTCAAATTATCGAGGACACAAATAAAACTCCTCTGGCACCTCCTCCGCCTACTCATATTGCAAGATCACCTTCACCTTCGGCCACTGCCAAACCAAGGGAGGAGGCGAAAGCGTTTGGGTCTCCACAGAGATCTGGCAATGGCAAATCTCCTTCCACTCAGTCTTTTGCACCGGAATCTATCCGATCCGGATCTCCGGTTCAAATCGAGGTGACCTTGGGCTCTCCGTCAAAATCAGCTACCTCGCCGGTAGTACCTATGCGATCGATATTTCCTAAGTACAATCCCAATGTGCCTTTAAATCAGCAGCATTACTATCCGCGACGCTCGACTCCTTATGATCATCCACGAGAAGTTGTATCGAGATGTGACTACAGCCCAAGTTTAACATCTCCTCAATCCGCTATCCCTCACACGAAGCGAGAGTCTACTCAACTTGCAATAGCTTCAAAACTTTCGTCAACAGAGCAACTCACACGTCTATGGGAGGCCGCAAATGGATCAGGACCGCAACCCGATCTTGGGACCTTCCATCTGCGTATTTCCAGGTGAGTTGGCAAAGCTTCCTTTTGATTCGTTTTTACTGTCTCTTGCTAATTCATTTATCTTATAGGATTGACCATCTAACATTTGCTTTTGGAAACCATTCCACGTCACTATATAGCTTTAAAATTAACGCTATTGGTGACGTTGAAATTCAAAGGTCCCATCCAACTATGGATTATACCAAATCACCCATCATTACACTCAATAATGCGGATATTAATCAAGTTAAGGGGACCAGCTACATCACGATTGTTTTCCCCATGTTGGCAGAGATCCTAGCTAGAGATCAAGCCTTGAGCTTGTCAAGGCAGCATCAATTAGCACCAACAGATGCGATGGAAGTAGAGGATGACGCTGTTAGACGGGCCCAAGAACAGGAGTCTTGCATCCTAGAATGGAACGGCGCTCACTGCCGATACAACGTCCACCATCAGGCCTTGTTTAATGCCCCGAGTGACGATCTATCGAATAAAGCTGAACGTTCGGGATCCCCCACCACTAAAACACGAGGTCAAATATTGCATCTTACGGTTTCCTCCAATACAACAGATAGCGCAATTCTAGGTCATCCTCCATCGATTCTCATTACAGTCCCAGGCAAAGACTCTTCCAAAGACACTCCATTGGCAGCGTTGGACCTTGAGACAATGATGCTATCAATTTCAGCTGGTGTCATATCCTCTATTGTTCCAGCCTTATACTGCATAGATACGTTAGTTGCCTCAATCTTCATAATTGCAGCCACCGACCAATCTACTAGAGCCATTCTAGCGGACATGGGAATCGAACCCCCCGAGGCCAATGGGGAATTCCACGATCCTTATCTCATCACCCCCCCGCCTTCTGGGAAAACACCGGCAGTTATTGCTTCGCAACCACGTTTTAATGGCCCGCTAATAGCAACGCAAGCAGAGCGTGAGGAGGCAGAGCAAGAATCCGAGCTAATGTCTCAAATTCGCTCTTCTCCCAAAAGCAAACCAATTTTTCCGTTTTGGAGAAGATCACAAACATCCTTACAAGTGAAGGTCAAAACGAAAAAGCGAAAGCAGATTCCAGTGGTGATTGAAGAAGTGGACCTAGAAAACTATGGACGCTACAGCAGCGGATCTAGCGAGGGGGAAAAGCTCCCCGCCCTCACGAGATCCGTGCTAAAGCTAATATTCTGGGGATTCAGAGCTGTTATCTGGGGACTGACTGTTGCTGTGAAGTTCATAGCATGGCTGTTGATTAGCATGACGAAGTGTTTTACCAGCGATAAATTTTAGCGAAGGCGCAAGGAGAGATATAATAAGCCTAATTTCAAAGGCAGAGTTACCAATATATTCATGTTAAAATACGACAAAATTTCATGGATGCCCCGTTGACCAAGTTTCTATCAATCAGGATGATATATTTTGTCCTTTTTTCCCTTCCTTACGACGTACCCCAATTGACGAAACGAGGAAATATTTGTATTGCAGTTATTGAGGTTTCTTTCATGAAACCCTTGGCATAGAAAGAGGGAACTATCTAAAAATCAGAAAAACCGCTCTCAAGAGCTTCTTTTCCTATCTTCGTCCTTTTTTCCCAAGTCACATTCTTAATAAATTTTTGCCCTGTTTGTAGCACTTTCACATAACTCGTTCCGCACTTCCACAACTTCCCCCTTAGCCATTTTTGCGTTGCAGGCCGCCCATTTATGGGACAGAACAACGTCGGGTATATGTCGGGTATATGCAGCCAATGTTCCAATCTTCAGGAGCACCTGGCCCCGAGACAATGCATTCTCAAGTGGAGCCTGATCGCAAGTTTTATTCCACAACAACGAGTGGACAGGCTGAGGGGAGGCTTGAATGGACTTTGTTTGGCATTCTACCAGCTTGGGCGGTGACAGCACATTTAACCCCTAAACCTCTCTCTCTTCTGGAATGTTTAACATGTCACAGGACAACCAGCTGCAGACTAAAATGGACAAACTCATTGACATTTGCTTCCTAGTTGGATTTACAGGAACCGTTCAATGTAACTATTTGTCCAAATGTGCCTCCTAATTGTACATGTACCTTGCAGAGAATTATAAAGAGCACACAGAACATACAGAACCTGTGAATTGATCAACTAACTGTGCATGTCACACCCTCATCCTGCAGAAGATGCACCATCTTCAGAAATATGACTGGTAAGGTGCCCCAATTGTTTAGTACTTAGAGAGCAGTAACGAAAACATAATATTTCCACAGGCGAAGTGGGGAGGTGTAATGCACCATTCAATTTTGGAATGTCGATTAACGATGAAGGAAGTCGAAATTTTCAGAAAATCGGGTTACACCACATTGGTCGTACCCACAACGAATCAAGAACAGCTCTATTCCTTACACACTCCTAATTGAGGTGTTACAAAAAAGCCCAAGGTAGCTGTTGTATTTAAAATCCTCCAACAGAAAATAGGTGTAATAGAATCCATAAAAACTCCCAATAATGGGCATCTTTCAGCTGTTAATACACCGTACTCCAAACAGTGACGACAGCCTCTCGACCATTTCTATAAAGAAATGTGGTAGAGAAAAAACGATAAATCCAACAAGGGTATCACATCATCCAACACGGAACAAATATTCGAGATAAAACATAGACTGTATGTTCTGGCGTCTTTGCGGTGCTCCTATTCCGTCTGTTGACAGGGGTGAACGGCTAGAAAACTATCAAATGCAGTGTCAACGACCCAAATGATGACAAGAGCAGTAATATTCATGATCAAATAGCACGATAAAAACAATCAAAGGAAACTCAGTTCATCATCACTCGAGCCATCGAGATTATTTTCTGCAGCGCACACTATGGGTAGGTTTCGTAATGAAGAAGATCTAGTCGAACGGAGACGAGTTATCATATTCACGGGGGAAGAGATACGCGGGTTGGTTGTGTTAGAGCTATAGCATTGCAAAGGGTAAAGACGAGGTGGCTCAATGGCGAGGACATCTTCGTCGTTATCGTTATCGTCATCGTCACTACTGACATCGTTACCGCTATCTGACTTTGCTGGCGCTTGCACTCGTTTTTTTGTTATGGGAAATTTGCTAGGCTTTCCCTCCATCTGTTTTTTCTTGGTATTGGATATGGCGACCTCAACCGCTTTTCGGTATCTTGGAGCCTCTAATGGCACTTTAACTTCAACAGCAACAGGAGAATGAGGATAATTGTTCCTTTTTCTTTCACGTAACGCTCTTGTAGTGTATAGAATGGGTTCAGATTCATGAAATTTCGTTGCAGTTTCTAAGTGTGTAAATTGATCAGGTATTAACGGGTCAGGCTCGCTGTCCCCGCGTTCATCGATATAGAGATTCCAAGCACGTTTGCCCCTGGACCATAGCCGACGAGTAGATGCGCTGAGTGTAGAGGTATATGCGGCTTTGTTTCGTTTGCTCGAGTTCGGTTCCGGGAAGTTGACGATTCGTTTCCGTCTCCGAGAACAAGATGGATAGGGGGAGTCTGATGATGTAATACTTGAATTATACCCCTCCGAAGAAGCTGAAAACTTACTAGAGCTTCTAGACATTCTCGCATCCTCCGAATTACTTAAATTTGATGGGACATCTCGAGGGTCCGTCGAGGAACCTTTGCGGTTCTTATGGCGACCTGGCCCCTTCTGTACCCTCTTGCCAGGGACTGCAGCTATCCATTCTCCAATACTGTCTTCCCATATATAGCCACTCTTTGACAAAGCCAGCGATGGTGTCAACGGTACCATCACGCCTTGGTGGAAGGGGGCATGCGTATATGACCCCACTTTAGTCTGTATATGAGCAGCCCAAGAGTGGTGATCAGGGTGGAGAGTGTATTCGGCAAAGTCCAGTGCCGCATCAACAGCGACCTTGCTCAGAAGAGCTCTAAGCGTAGGATACCGTTGTAAACTAGCATCTATAAGCGCATCCGTAAATAGTTCCAGTTGATTGAATCCATCATCTGCTCGGGCTCGACCACAATTCTGCGATACATGAGTCACGAACGTCGACAGGCTACCCGTGAGATCTTTTCGATTTTTCAACCGGCTAGTAAAAGATTCAAAGGCAGTTAAAAGCCCGGACATGATAGCAACATCTGTTTCTCCCTGCCCGCTGCATCTATTGATCCTGCAGTTAAGAAGATAATCTGCCATCAAGATATACCCAGTTCGTAAAAGCTGCGATCTTGTGCGATCTTGTGCTATATCAAGTGATGCTGCTTGTATATCATGCTGCATTATGGCTGACAGCCTAGCTAGTACATGCTGCATGGAAGAAGCAGTTGATGACGATGCATGTGGTTGGTTTCCAAAACGCACAATATGTGCACTACACAGAATACCTAAAATACTCGAAATGCTATTATTCAAAGCAATTGTTAAACTTTCGTCTGTTCTCCCGTTCGAATTCGTCGAGATATTCCGATATGTGAGATGCGGTTTTGGTATCCCTCGAAGAGCTTGTGACGTATTCGGTGCTTTGTCCTGGGGCGATTCGAAAGTTGATATATCGACGCAAGTGTCCGACCCAGAAGCGACAAGAATCATATTCACAATAAATAGGGCGGAAGCGGAACAGTCACCATCCTCACATGATATTGACTGAATAGCATGAGTCACAAACGGTTTCATGGACTCTGTGGCTATCCACTCCACAGGCACGATGCCGTACCGTAATAAAGTCCCGACCTCACGAAAGAAGAAGCTTAAATGACTAGATTTGTTGACGTATGTAGCCAAAGTATGGAATACCCCAAAACTCCTGGATGAAAACAATGTACAATCCAGATGGCTAGGACCTTCAATTCTCTGGGAAACAGAAAGAAGGGCCGACAATATTTCTCTCGCAGCATCGTACGAAGATGACTCAATTGAATTCAATACAAGTTGGCGGCCTATCATCGGAGATATCCACCTTTTCTGAATCCCCTCGCAAACTAAACGGATGCCATGGAGTCGTACAAGAGCTTTGAGCGGTTTCCATCCTGCATTAGGTGTTCCATAAATATTTTCTAGTTCTGTGAAAATAAGATCTGCCACATCGATCTGCTCGTCTTTGTCTTCGCAATTGTCAGCAACCTCCTGTTCTTGAGCAATATACATGGAAGTTGTATCCAAAGCCATTGACATAAGGGATCTTGCCCCGCAGCTAATGCTTTGTTGTGGAGCTGTCATTATAAGAAATGTATCCCAAACTTGGAAAATACCCTGCGCGATCGCAATATATGACGATTCATTATACTCCTCACACGAGTCCTTCCATGTCTTCTGACTATTCCATCCCGAATAGGGCGGCGGCTTACGTTTCGTAGAAACCCGACGGGAATTTTGGGTTGACGAGTCTTCATTAGAATCCACAACCGTAGAATTCGTATTTGCATTCCCGTTTGCCCCATCCACCGTCTGACCTTGTCGGCACTGTCCCTTTATTAAAGGAGTGGGGAGAGAAAACTGCCCGGGCAAGAGCTTCTGAGCCTCTGGACTCCTCACAATGACCCTCGACCGGCTCCCAGCACGAGTGGAATATTTATGCCTAATACGTTTGCGCATAGCACGGCCTGGAACCCAAGTCGGATCATTGGGGGTAGACTCTGATTCGGAAGTTTCCCTCTCCTCTCTCGTCACAGTGCGGCTGTCCTGATCGAGGCTGCACGCATTGGCGCTATTCAAGTTCGGAGCGCCCAACGGGGTTATCTTCCAGTGTTTTTCCAGACGCAATATTGTAGATGTTAAAGGACGCAATGCCCTATTACACCATCTCGACGTGATGGGGACTTCAGACGCGGAGGGCCTTAGGCGCGAGGTTGCGGAGTTTGAAGCCATTATTGCGAGCGGGGGAAATGGCTGTTCAACCTGAATTTCGTTCCCTTGCTATTAGTGCCAATGCCCATAATGCCATCACTCACGAGCAGGTAATCAAGCGGTTATATATCATCAGCATACCTGGACTTCATCGACATGCCTGCGCAGCTCAACCACTCCTGGCTGCCCGCGGCAGAAGGGCTCTCCAGGGATGACCTAGCGTGGCGTTCAGAGGATACTTAATTCATGGAAATGTAAGGAATAAATCAATATATCGGACAAAGCTGTGGGGTATTAAAATATGCAATAATGGCTATTTGGTCGTATTATTGGTGCTACTATTAAGACACATTTCTACAATGTCTACGGAGAAGTTCGGACGATGTAAACAATGGTAGTCACATGACCACGGAAATTTCAGCCCTAAATTTCTCCTTGGCGTGCGTCATAGGCACGAACTTTCCCCATACTACTGAAAGGGGG